TAAGTACTTGAGTGGAAGCCCCATGTCCATCTGCTACCTTAATACTAATCCTATAAATATATGCATGTAGATCTATTTCCCCACCCTCCTATATAAATATATTTACATATGTACATGTCAGTATTTAGACCTCTATAAATTAAGGTGACCAGGCATCCCACTTTTGGCGGGACAGTCCCGCTTTTTAACAATTTTTCCCACATCCTGCGGCGTTTTTTAAAAAGTCCCAATTTTTGGAAAGAATGCACGACAAGCTAGGGTATAAGGTTTTTGGTTGCCATGTGGCTATTTCACCAAGATATAAGTTTTATCAATGGTATCACACTTTACCAATGTTAAAATCTGGTCACCTTACTATAAATACCCTTTGTCACCTAGTTCTTTCCTCTATATCCTTTTACTTTCCTTCTGTCCCACTATCATACTCAGCCTTCATTTGAGTTTTAGTAATTTCTCTCGGTTACATTGTCCTTGCTGAATCCCTACCAGGCCTCACACACCCTCCTTGCAACTGATTTTGGATAACTTGTTGCTCCCCTGTCCCTGGGTTGGTCAGCACCACCTCCTTACCCCCGCCTCCCACTCCCCCACAACTCTTGGTCCCATTGTTTTCTCCTCCAGACTATTCATCCAGCCTATCGTATTTAGATAGATCTGTAGAGATAATAATATGCACCAGAAATCAATCCATAGCAAGATAGGCAAAGAATGAGAACACAGTGATGACAACAAAAATGAAAACCAATGACCCATAAAAGAATAAATTAATTAAAAGACAAAAAATTTTTTTTAAAGAGTGAAAAACCTGTAAATAGATCAAGGTCTGATTTTTTATCTCTAGGCATGTCCTTCAGTCAGGTCTGATGGGGTGCCACGCTCTGGGCCCAGAGTCTGTCCTTCATACTCCCTCAGGGTCTCCCTGCTCTGCTCCCACGGTTGCTCTGCCACATGCCTTTAGTGATTTGCCTCTGTGTTGCAGGGTCAGTCCGGGCCAGGCCTGACACTGAGTCTCCAGTGTTGTCCCCCTTAGAGCCCTGGGCCATCAAGGGACGGTGTATCTCGTAGTGGGATCAGCCATCACTCTGTGCATTGGCTGTTCAGAGTGGGGATATCGTCCTCCAGGCCTGGTGGGCCAGCATGTGCTCCACTCTCTCTTCCTCCCCCTTCATTTGCTCCCCTGTGCTCTGATCAGACATGCCCCTCTCCCCTAGCTACAGCTTCAGTGCCATCCCCTACAGTAAATTCTTCTGGGGGGAGGGGCAGTTAAACAACTGATTCTTATTGGCATCTTCCCCCACCTTCATGTACCCAGACCCATCAGGAAAAGACGAAATATGCCCAGGCCTTTTGAAAAAGTTACAAAGACTAATGTCTAGAAGAGTCCTAGCAAGTAAATCATGGTGTCACTCCGATAGTCAGTTTGAACATGAATGGGGAGTAGTCCTTTAATGATCATGGAACTCTTTGCATTCATCTTACGTGCTTTGGACATGCTATCAGGAGTGACCTGTGCCTGGAGAAGGACATCGTGCTTGGTAAACTGGAGGGGCAGTGAAATAGAGGAAAGACCTGAACGAGCTATGGCAGATAGGCTTCAACAATGGGCTCAGACATAGGGACAATTGTGAGGATGGCACACGACCCCGGAGTGTTTCCTTCTGTTGTGCTCTATGGGTCGCTACGGGTCAGAACTATGCCACCTAACAACAGTACAACTCTTTGCATTAAGGGGTGGGCCAGCCTTTTGGGAGAACAAACAAATGAGCATCCATCAAGATAGTCAACGGGAGAAAACATCGCCCAGGCTGGGAGTGCTCAAGCAGTTGAGGATATCAGTGTGGTGAGCTGGGGCCATTGGCATCCTCACGAAAGACCTGGGCATCGACTGTGCTCAGTTCAAGGACATTGTGAGCAGAGCTTTCCGAGTTGTCCTTTCCATGTCATGTTTAGCTTTGCCCATGGAGTCCATTTGCAACATTTGGCTGCCGAGACTTGTGAATGAACACGCCAGATTTCTCTCCACAAAGTGAACATGTGGACCGCACACCAAAGGAAAACATGTTCTTTGAAATCTGGATTCGGAGGAACATTTCTTTTCTGAAATACAGATCTTCCTATTCTGTCTCTACTTGGTTGACTTCCTACTCGGTCTCTTTGGGCTCTTTAAAGGAGAAACCATGGTTTTCTCCCTTAAAGAGGTAGACTGTCAGGGAGCGCTGTCACATGCATCTGCGAAATCATTCACGATGCCTGCACAAGGCATTGGGCCAGACATGCGGTGGTATGGAGAATTGAGAGAAAGTCGAGCTCAGCTCTGTGGCTTCTCCTTACTGACTTGTCTAGGAGTAAAAGCTTTATCATGAGGTAAATCCAATCTCTATAATTTCTAACAATAACACAATGCAGTAGGCCTCCTTCGTTTTTAAGGTTCACAAAAACTCTAGGTGGAGCCCTAAGATCCAACTGAGTGTGGAACACAGGTCTCACTGGCTCAAGACCTAATTGATCTACCCTCTTCTTGTGTTTGGAGGAAAAGGCATAGACCAGAATTCAATGGTTCATGTGAGAGAATGCAGATGAGGTAGGAAGCTGAAATACATACCTCTGGAATCCCGCAGGCAAGAAAAGAGATCAAGCAGACTCGAGTAAAACCTGTGGTACCCAAGGGATAAGGACCATGGCTAAGTACCGGGGATAAAACAGAACCAAGTCATAGGTGTCAGGAAGGCCCCTGGCTCTGAGCCAGCCCATGGTCTGGCTTTAACTTACTCTTGTTATCTTGCTCAGAGATAACCCTTTAGGTAGCCATTAGCAAGTGGCCAAGGCTAACCCTTTTGTATAGTGGCCTGCTTACCTCTCACAACTATAAGAACAATGAAAGGAAACAGAATTCTATGGATCATTTTCTCAGTATCTGACAGAAGAGCTCTGTGCTCTGGTGATTTGCAAAACTTCATTTGTGTATGGGACAGGTGCCCCTCAAATGGTTAAATCCATATGCCTGGTTGGCAAAAAGGAAGAGGGGTGTCCTTGTTTTTATTGCCCCGTTTCTATTTCTGTTCTCTCTTTGCCCAGACCCATTACACAACCCACCTTCACTAGATTGAAGCATATGTATTCCTATCCCCAAAAGCAGATGAGGGAGCCTGGCCCTGGAAAACTGTTGAACTCAGCCCAACTGTACAGAAGGATTATGAATGCAGTTTCAAAACTACTGCCTTAGTAGTGAGTCCAAACTCATGATGGAGAGAGTGGTCCCTGAGCAAAGCAACAGCCTGGTATCTAACCATGACAAAATGAGAGTGTGCGTGTAGTTATTCCAAGATTTGCTTCTTTTTTTACTGAGTAGTTGTGTTAGTGTGGGTAGACTAGAGAAACAAATTCATGGACACTCTCATATGTACAGGAAAGAGCTTTACATACAAGAGCAGTTGAATATTGAGGAAAGACCCCAGCCCAGTTCCCATCAAGCCCATAAATCCAATATTAGCACATATGTCTGATATCAATCTGTAAAGTCCTCTTCAGACTCACAAAACACATACAGTGATGCTGAATGCATCCAATGGAGGTAGAGGCATCTCAGCACTGACAGGGGTCTCCACATGGCTCCTCCATTTCTCAGGACATGGGGTCTATCAGTGTAGTGCCATGTGCCTTGTCAGTAGAGCGTCACTCAGGGAATGAGCAGAGAGAGAAGTGTCTTCTGCCTCCAACGAGGAAAATACAGGAGTTCCCAGAATTCTCAGGAGAAGGCCATGCCCACGCAGAGACCTCATTGGCTATGACCTGATTGACAGACTAGATTCCACCCCTTCATTCTTAATCCTCTCAAGTCCCAAATTGACACCAGATTATCTAACTACCACAGCAGTTTACCTCCAACTGAAATCCCAGGAAATGAGGAGGTACTGTGAGAATTTCTTCTGTTCTGCTGATCAAAATCCAGCATCACACCCTCTGCAAAGTTTCCAATATAAAAACCATGCTAGGCTGACCCAATTTCCAGTTTGGTATAAAGAATCCCAAGGGCTGGAATGACTTCCTGCTGGTAACAGTTAACCTGCCAGACAACTAAGCCCCATCTTAGTGTGTCTTTGTGCCCTGGAAAGATGAAGTTGCAGCTCTGTGTATATCCCATTTGTTTATACTTTATCCCTTGAGTTTCAGCTTGTATTCTATTAAAGCATTGATCTTTTGGGGAAGGGTAACCCTGAACTATCATGAGCCTTCTATACCAGAGTATAAAGGAAAGATATAGCAACATATGTTTGGTTTGTGATCCAAGGATTATAAATAATAAAATTCAAATCCAAAGGAGGGAATGGTATCAGAGCTTAAATTGTGTACGCCTGGTTTACAGAAGGCTATGGATGACAGTGGAAGCCCAAATCCATTCCCAGGGGCTCCACATGGATTATGTCTCCAGTGAATCCCCTCTGACCATAGTCCAAGGATGTGAATAGCCTTGCTATGGTACATGGAGCATTATAAAGTCAATGATGGCAGATGTAGTTAGGCTAAAACGTAATACCTTATCATGTAATCTCCTTTTTTGACCCATTTCTAAGTTGTTTCTGTTTTTAATGTTTTCTGATTTCTCTTTGAAGTTTTTCTGTATTTGTCTAGTCATTGTCATTGTTTGCTTGCTTTGTATGATTTTGCATGATTGTGTTTTTTTGTGTGTGATTTTCTATATAGGGGTGGATCTAAAGAAACAATAACTGGATATGGGTATGATGGAGGATGGGGCAAGAGGCGTGGGAGCTAACAACAATGAGTATAAGAAGAAAATGTTCTGAAATTGATTCTGGTGATGATTTCACAAATCTTAATATGACTGATCAATTAAATTATATGATATGTGAAATACAGTTTACTAAAACTGGTTTTTTTTAATAGCCTAAGTCTGGGGCTAAGGCAGTGAACAAGGAGTTGGAATTTGACAGCATACTTGGCTTCTCTTATTGTCGAGCTGACAGTCTTTTCTCTCTAAACAGGGCCACCCTGGACAGCCAGGGCCCAGAGGCCCACCTGGTCTGGATGGCTGGAATGGAACTCAAGGAGCAGTTGGATTTCCGGGCCCTGATGGCGACCCTGGCCTTGTTGGACAACCTGTATGCTGCCAAATCTTTGTCCATCATTTCAAATTGTGTTGCTTGCCTCCAAATGTACCCTCTTATTGCTTATCTAGAGACTTCGTTTAACCACTTGTGGGAGAGCCACCATAGCCCCTTAGTTAGTGGCCAACAGCATTCCAACATAAAAAGTATGAAGAACAACAACCAGCTCAACAAGGTTTACACCTGCTATACTACTTAGGATTTTTTTTTTAAAGATGACACTTTTAGAGTTGGCAAGGTTGTTAAAGGCTGTAGTAAACTTCTGAGCAGAGTACATACTTGGGCTATTTGGCATGTTCCCACATCAGAAGATATAGGGAAATACAGTAATTGGAAGATTACCATGGAATTAAGGAAGCTCAAAGAAGAATTCAAAGGACTTGACAAGCTTGGTCTAGACCACAGGTTCTTATTCCCTTCAGGGAATATTTGGCAATTTTTAATTGACATTTTTGGCTGTCACAACTGGTATCTAGTAAATCAAAGCCAGAGATACTGCTGAACAGTTATAGTTCAATCCACAGGGCACCTTCCCCTAGCCAAAAAGAAGAATTATCGGGCCCAAAGTATCAGCAGTAACAAGATTGAGGAACTGTATACTGGTAGAGGTTGCCCCTCCGTCATAGGTCTTGGTTGGAGGATTAAGCAGTCACTTCATCCCGTATATTTAATCTGCTCCTCTGGATTATAGGTTCCCACGTGATTTGGCCTACCACCACATTTTCAGAAAAATAATTACTCAGCATCCCCTGACAATTAAAAACGTTTGTACTGTAGCCTAAAATCCAGGATAAAGTGTGGGTAGCTGTTTTTGCAGCCCACTCCCCTTCCAGTGCCCCACTTTGGGAATCACTGATCTATAGTAACCCCCCCCCCAAAAAAAAAAAAAAAAAACATAGTAACATCGAGTCAATTATGACTAATAGTGACCCTATGGAGGGCTCCAAGCTCTTTATGGGAGCAGACAGCTTCATCTTTCCCTTACACTATGGCTGGTAGGCTAAAACCACTGGCTTTCTGGTTACCCAACAGCGCCATCAGGGTTCCTATTCATCTAAATAGTGCTCAGATATTTGGATCTAATGGATCTCTAGTCAATATCATATCCTTTCAAGGCTACTTTTCCAGATGGTTGGAAAGATAAAAATAACATATTTCAAGCCCATTCCTAATTTCCATTGAAATCTTCCCAAACTAACAAGGGTACTGATGTGAAAAAAGGAGCTAGAAGTCACACAACCCATTAGATTCAATAACAACATTAAGTAACAACATTAAGTAACAACATTAAGTAGCAACATTAAGCAGCAACATACCCTTCAGGGACCGTGTGATGAGTGTGGGTATGGGTGTATAAATCCGTGAGAAAGGGAGATCAACAGAGAAAAAACACAAGCCTTAGATTGGCATAAAGGACCTTGGCATCTAAGGACTGAACCAATATGGGGGAGGGGAGGGGGAGATATGCTCCTCATGGAATGAACCATGTTGAGTCACAAAGGCCTCAGGCCATTGCCATGGCAACCTGGGAGGAGTGCAACAGCCATCTGTTAGGAGCAAAACAGTCAAATGCTGCTCTGTAAAGAGGGGAGAAGTCTTATGGTAAACAAGGTCTGATAGACAAGGGCAGAACTTCATCTTGCCCAACCTCTCAACCACCCATCAAGCCTAAATAGGAACTTGGATCTTCTTTTACTAAGCTGAGCCTTACATCCTGCTGTATCCTGAGCTGATCTCCATCAAGTGATCCAATGCCAGTAAGTGGTCATTAGAATTAAGGGGAACAGCTGATTAAAACGTTAAAATGGAGGGTATGGCAAAAAAATGGGGAAAAAAGAATTAAGGAGAAACAGGCAGTGTTAGTACAGAATGGGTTTGTGTTTGTGGGGCCACATTGTTGTTCTAAGTATTAAAGTTGACTGGAAAAAAATAAAATGTCATGATGGCCAGGAGGTACAAGTACAAACTAGACCGAACTCACTGCCATCGAGTCGATGCTGACTCAGAGCGACCCTATAGGACAGAGTAGAACTACGCCTCTGGGTTTCTGAGTCTGACTGTTTCTGGAAGCGGAAAGGCCCAGCTGTCTCCCGCAGAGCAGCTGGTGGTGGCCTCAACCCCCAATCTTGTGGTTAGCCACTCAGTGGGTAACCAAGATGCCACCAGGGCTCTATTGTTTGGTAGTGGGGACCCTGAGCAACAGCCCTGGTGGTATAGTGATCACACAATGGATTGCTAACCATGAGGTATGCAGTTTGAAACCACCAGCCACTCCTTAGGAGACGAATGAGCCCCTCTACTCCCATAAAGAGTTGGAGTCTCGGAAACCCAGAGAGGTAGTTCCATCCTGTCCTATCAGGTCACGACGAGTTGGATTGACTCAATGGGAGTAAACATGTGTGTGTTGAGCATAGTCCCTTGGACTACATCAATTCAAGGTCTTGCTGTTCCATCCTCTCTCTGACCAGATCAGACTATTCACAAAACACTCGGTGTGCATTTCCTCACAACTTTTTTCTTATTTTACTCAGGGGATCAATGGACAGAAAGGTACTAAAGGTGACCCTCCTCTTATTTCTCAAGTGACTCTCAAAGGAATGAAGGTAAGCCCCTCCAAGGCAGATAGCTGAGTAGGTTATAGACCAAGTTCCCTGGGATTGGGCCCTACCACCAATGAAAACCTTCCTAGAACTAGCATGTGCCTCTCTCTCTAAAGAGTAGACCAAGTTGGAGCTAAAAGGATCTGGAAGTCTTGGTGGTGGAAACATTGACAGGCTTGCAACTCTATTGTCCAAGAGATTGGCACGGTAGTATCTATGGCAAGAAAGTAGGAGACAGATCAGCAAACCATTGGTTTGCATGAGTGTCGTTGTCTGTGACAAGATGAGACAGTTCTTGGGAGTCACAGAGCTTTGATCTGCTTGAGACCCCTTGGTGTCTGCACAGCTCGCTCTGAAGTCATACATGTCTCTGCCCACCTCCGCAGGGTCCCCAAGAGATCCAGGCCCCCCTGGTCCCTGTCCCTGCCCAACAGCCCATGACCTTAGCGAGACCACCAGCTGTCTGTGCTCAGTATGCATCCCGTCTGCAGCTGACTGGAAACCTGCCTCTCTCCCCAGCGCTGACAAGAACCTTCTTTATTCAATCGTGTGTGCTTGTCCCCGGGGTGTGTGGCGCCTGATATCCAGTGATGCTTCAGTAAACTCTGACTTCAAATGATTGGCCCTCCTCACTCGCCGGGTGGGAAGGGGGCCTATCCTTTGTCCTGCTGGCAGATGGGTAGCTCTCTGTGCACATCTGCGGAGGGGAACGGCAGCAAGGCCACTCAGCTCACTGCAAGCATCATTCTGTCCTACCTTCATGCACAGCATCGGGGGTATTGGGAAGCACTTTAGAAAGGGATGATGGGGCAGGGTGGCTGAAGAACCAGAGAAGATGATGGGGTTTGGGTCCGTGGCTACAGGTGCCATAGCATCAGAGAAAATGGTAAGTGGTAGAAAGCAATGCGTGCTTGTCACACTCATACATTTGACAACCAGGTAACCTGCGCTATCCTGAGATGATGTGACGTGCTCAGAGCCACACTGTCAATTTACTAGAATGCTAAAACCCAGGCTGCATTCTTTCCCTTGCAGGCAAAATCTGTGTTTTGACCAGAAGCCAAGTAAGGGAGAATAGCAGGTCTCCAAGTATGGCCATTGTCTAAACAAGCATTGATTAAATGGTTTTGCCAAAAATAAAAATTTTAAATCCACGAGACCCTGGATCCAATGGGGAACACAGCAATTTCCACGAGATGGTTGTATTACAGATTCATACAGTGACTTGAGATGCTGCAAAGTAATTAAAATGTAATCAGAGACTCTATGCTCTGTTGCCTCTCCCTTGAAATGTCTGATTTGCATTGTGCACATATGGGCCCAGATTCTCTGGGGATGAAGGAACACGGGAAGGTAGCTTTGCTTGCCTCCAGAAAGAGCAGGAAAATCACCAGGCTGCAGAAGCAGTTTCTAATTGATAAGTTCCCAGCAAAGGTGAAAATTAATTAATCCACAGAAAATATGCAATCCTGCTCAACCAAGGCTATAAGATGTGTCTTCTACAGTCCAGATTTTTCTTAGGGGGGAGGGATGATTGAATCAATCCAATTTATGCATTTCTTAAAACTCAAGACCTTGACGGAGTCGTCTAAGCTCCAGCAAGACATTTCTGTCCCCAGGAAAACTTAGGTTGGTTGTTTATAGAATAGCACAGACGCGATGTGTTCATCTCTTGTGTCCTGCCTCTCTCTTGTCTGTTTCTTAGGGGGATCCTGGGCAGCAAGGACTGGACGGAAGCACTGTAAGTTGTCACTTAGGTTAAGGAAATCTCAGTGGTCAACAGTCACAGATGGGGCCTTTTTATTCTCTCCATGGTCACACAGGAGCCTGGTGGCACAGTGGTTAAGGGCTCAGCTGCTTACCGGAAGGGCAGCCGTTCGAACTCAACAGCTGCTCCAAGGTAGAAAGATGTGACCACATACTTTTGTAAAGATTATAACCTTGGGAACTCTGTGGGAGCAGTTCTCCTCTGTCCTATGATTCAGAGTCAACACAACAGCAATGAGTTTGCTCTGGTTTGGATCCATAGTGTTCTAAGATCATTCCGGGGGAGGGGGTGGAACTAGAGTGGGTTACATGATTGACATTTCCCAGATGAGAATGGAATAGGAAGATGGACTGTCTACCTCAAGTCACATGACAAACAGACTTTCAGATGTTCGAGGCAAGGGACAAAATGGATAGCCTAGGATAGATTAGAAGAGACATGCACCTTGCATTTGGGAGGCATTTACTAAGCTTGCAATGAGTTCTGAATGTTACAGGATATGTTTCTTTGCAACATATTTCATTCATTCACATATTTTTATTTTGGGGACTCTTGATAATAGTGAATCCACGAAAGGCTCCAAGTTGTATTAATAAAACCTTTATCCTCCTTGAGAGTCTACATTGTCATCGCTTTCCTTGAAATACCATCTGAAAAGCCCCTTCTGCCTGCCTGCCTCCTTTCCTTTCTTCCCTTCTTGTCTCCCTCCCTCCCTCCCTCCTTTCTAGTTCCTGGCCTTCCCTACTTGGCTCCCTTCCTTCCTCCAGTGTTGAACAGGTATTGAGCACCTACTTTCATCGCAATGCTAGGAGTAGTCCCTTAAGCAATGTACCCCTGGTCTCTACCCTCCTCCCTCAGGCTGTGAAAAACTCACAGGAATGTGACCTAAGAAGTGCACAGCAGCTGTGAGGAAGAGATGCTGTCCTCCAAAGGATAGCTGATGGGAGACTGGGTTGAAGATAGAGAGGGTAGCTTCTGAGACGTGTGGATGATAACTGTGTGGATGGAAAAGGAAAGAAGTTTTCTTTGTAAATCGAGAGAGTAGTGTGAGAACAGGTAGGCATAAAGAGAAGGTGTGCCAGCCCCTGGGAAAGCAGAGCTGAGTAAGAGCCAAGGCTACACCGGTGCCCTAGAGCTCACCAACATTAGTGTGCTCTTCATGAAATTTGTAGAATAACCACCACTATAACTGCTGCCTCGTTTCTCTTAAGGATCCACTGCCCTACCCACAAAAGAAAAGTGTTTATCTACCTAGACAGTCATGATACCCAGGCCCCTTAGATTTGCGAAGGGTGTGGTTGGAGGCTTGTAAGAAATATGTGCTCAGGAAGGACACCAAAGATGATCAGTGACTTTGGAAAGCAGTGTTCATCCCTGCGAAGCTTTTCAACCCTCACTTTGCCTACCGCTTATTTTAGTATGCCTTTCAAAGCACTTGTTTCCCTAAATACAACAGGATGCCTCTCATTAGCTAGACTTCAAAATGTATTGCTAGTTTTCCTTTTTGATGTCAAGTGTATATTCATGGGCACTCACACATCGTATTTGCTGAGTTTGCGCGCACGCACACGCGCACACGCACACACACACAAACACACACAATCTTGTACAATCCAAATCCCTGTTAAGGTTTAGAACATGACCGTCACCTCAGAAAAGCTTCCTCTGGTGCCTTTTCAGTCAATCCCTGCCACCACCCCACCACAAAGGCAACCTCTGTACTGATTTTTTCCTGACAATAGAGCAGTTGTCCCTGTCTTAAAACTTTCTTTCAAGGGACTAATGCAAGACTCAGCGTTTTGGCTCTGACTTCGTTAATTTCACAGATTATTTTTGAGGTCTATCTGCATTGGTTCATGTGTCAGTAGCTTCTTGAGTAGTTATTTTATTATCTGAACATCTCCTGCTTTATTTGACCATCCTTCTATCATTTTTCCCCACTATCTGAATAAACGTGCTATGAACATTCTTGTACAGTTCTTGTAGACGTAAATATTTCTGTGTCTCTTGGGTCTCTGTCTTGCTGTTTGAACTCAGTTAAAATTTGCTTTTTTTAGGGTCCAAAAGGAATGTCTGGATTTCCAGGAGCTGCAGGACCTCGAGGACCCCCAGGCATTCAAGTAAGACTAACTGAAGTTTAGAGAGAAGCCTTTGTGGTGTAGTGGGGTACGTGTGGGGCTGCTAACAAAGGTCAGCAGTTCAAAAGCACCAGTCACTCCTCAGGAGAAAGGTGAGGCCTTTTACTCCCGTCAAAAGTGACAGTCTCAGAAACTCATAGAGGCAGTTCTACCCGGACCTACAGGGTCACTGTGAGTCAGAATCGACTCAACGGCAGTGAATCTGTTTTGGTTTGGTTTTGGTTTTTGGTTAACCAAAGTCTAATATGTGGTCCTTGTGACTATACTTTCCCCATCATGGAGTGAATGTGCGTATGGAACAGTAGACCTTCCCCATGGAAAAGGGAAGGCTCCCTTCTTAGAGGCTGGAAGTGGAACATGTTCTTGCTAGCTCAGCCTAAAGTCTAGCCTGGGGATGGCAAATACCAGGCACATCTCTGACTACCTTCTCTGTCCTCACCCGTGACAAACACTGCTGATTGATCAGACCACCATCACCACCTACCTGAACCCAGAAGAAGGTTCAAAAGTATTCTCGCAAGATGTTTGAGCAGTTCCTACCTATCTCTTTGATACCTAGCCTATTTGCCATCAAGGAGCCCTGGTGGCATAGTGGTTACGAGTGGGGCTGCTAACTGCAAGGTCAGCAGTTTGAAACCACCAGCTACTCCACAGGAGAAAGATGGGGCTTTCTACTCCCAGAGATAGTTAGAGTCTCAGAAACTCATAGACACAGTGCTCCCCTGTCCTGTAGAGTTGCTATGAGTTGGCATCAACTTGAAGGCAGTGAGAGAGGTGTAAGAATTATTTAGCCAGTCATCTCGTTGGCTTAGAGAACTTCGTGTCCCCAGATTTTTCTATCTCTAGGGTATGAAATCAAACCTCTTGTTACTTTGGCTTAGATCATCATATTCAAATTTTGGATCAGGGGGAATGACTACGGAAGCGCTTCACTGCCTTAGGGCGAATGTAGTGATCAGGCCAATTTGTGGGGACCTCAAAGGAGAGGAATTAGACTTGCTACAGCCAAGCCAGGCTAACCCACATGTTGGGAGGTTTGATCCCCAATGGCCCCCAACTGAATAAATAGTCTTCGGGGCTGCAACTAACAAGTGCTAACACTTTTCTATTTTTTGACATCTAGGGTCTTCCCGGTGCCCCTGGAGTCCCTGGCCCAGATGTAAGTACGCTTTATCTTGAGGCAACTGAGCACTCACCCTTAAGTGTTCGGGCCTACCCCAAGACATACTGGTTTGGTTACACTTACGTTCTGGTAAAAGGGTCTCGTTCCAATGATCTAAGTTCCTGGAGCTTGTGTTGTAATTGATTTTGTTTTTCCTCCCTGCATTCCTGTGCCCCAGGGGAATATGGGGTTAGGTTCCCAAGGAGAAAAAGGAGTCAAGGTAAATCGATTTTGGAAAATACAATCTGCATTCCATCAGCTCCCCTTGCAAAAAAAAGTCCCTGGCTACCTGCATGTGGCTGGCATGTAAGGGATGTTCGCTTTGGGAAATGAGCATTCCCCAGCCCACATGGGCCATCCTCTAGTGGGATAGATCCCTTGAGGGCTGCTTGTGCGCTTGCCCCACATAAGCTGCTGTTCCCCCTGTTCCCTGCTTGTGAAGTGCATGCGTCCTGCCAGCATTCTGTCCACCTGGCGAGATTCTCGTGCTTCCACCTGGGCATTCCCCTGGTGTTTTGTAGGTGGTGTCACCTTCTCGTTCCATTTCTCTGCCTTTGCCCTTTCTTCTTCCTTCTCCTCTCCCTCTCTCCTCATTCTTCTCTCTCCCTCTCTCATCCTTCGCCTCTCTTTCATTATTCCCTTTGATGTCCCTCTGCACAAATTGCATGGTGACTTGGGAGAGCCTCAATTGAGGGTGGGAGCTTGTCTTTCCCACCCTTCATGGCTGCCTTTTGTGGATTTCATCGCCCTCTGAAAGAGCACGTCTCCCCCCCATCTCCCCACCCCCACTGCCCAGTGTTTCAATATGGCCTTCACTTTCCTCTGCTTGCACTCTTGGCAGGGTTTGACCTGTGTTGCCAAGAGGTGGCTATTAGCCTTTCTCAAACGACCCTTTTTTGCTTTCTTCTAAACACCCTCTCCTGCATGACTGTTGCAACCATGACCCTGTGGTGTCCTGCCATTCGTCCCGCCTCCTCCTCCTGCACTAAGGAGACAAAGTGGTTTTGGACAGGATGGTTCTTGGCCCTTGAGGCCAAGCTGAATGTGAAGAGGCCAAAGTGATGGACATTTGACTTGGCCAATCACATTCAGAGGAAGAAATCACATCCCTCTGGAGAAATAACCTGTGAGGCTTCTGCTTTTCTCAATGTTTCCCTTGGTCTTTCAGGGTGATGTGGGCCCCCCTGGACCTGTTGGACTACCGCCATCTACCGGAGAACTGGAGTTTATGGGGTTTCCAAAAGGGGAAAAGGGGTCTAAAGTAGGTGAACACTTTTTTTTAAAATAGGAAAAGTTAGTAAGCCTTTTTCTATAAATACTCAACTCAGATAAGTAGACTACACTGGAAGAAGAAAGACAGGGTTCTGAATAATCATGGATTTTTCTTTGGAAGTGAGATCAGAAACCATCTTTGTTTTGTCCCTCGAGAAAGGCCATCTAAAAATCTTAAGTGTGTTTGCTGGCTTGTGGCTATGAGTGTGTGTAACTGAGTTTCAGAATATTCCTCTAAGGGTTATTTTCCTGTGTTTCCATCATGCAGATTCAATTCAAGATCCTGAATAACATTTTAAAATGAGTTGCTTTGTTTCCTTCTTAACTCTGTTTATGTAATCTTCCCAATGTTTTCTTTATGTATGGTGCCCTTAAAGAACTTCCCACACACATGTACACACACACAAAATCAAATAATGCCATCGAATTGATTCCAATTGATAATGACCCTATGTGACAGGCTCAGACGTTTCCAAGACTGTAACTCTCTATGACAGGGGTCCTTAAACTACAGCCCGCGGGCCACATGTGGCCCACTGTGGACATTTATCCAGCCCGCTGGGTGTTTTTGCACCGTTTTTTTAACTTCAAAATAAGATATGTGCAGTGTGCATAGGAATTTGTTCATAGTTTTTTTTAACGATAGTTCGGCCCGCCAACGGGTCTGAGGGACAGGGAACTGGCCTCCTCCTTTTCCCAAGGCTCTGTTGGTGATTTCGAACAGCTCACCTTGAAGTTAGCAGCCCAACATGTAACTACTATGTTGCTTTTGGATTATCTCCTTAAAGTAGTTCTTTGTTCTCAAAACATAACCCAGAAAATAGACTATACATCACCCAGTGGCAGTAGATGCTATAATTCTCCTGAACTGAATGACCTATTTAATAGATCTAAGGAGCCCTGGTGTCACAGTAGTTATATGTTGGGCTGGGATCTGCGTGGCAGGCAGTTCAAAACCACCAGAAGGTCCTTGGGAGCTTTCTACTCCTGTAATCTGTTACACGGTCTTGGAGTCCCACAGTGGGGTCGCTATGAGTCAGCATTGACTTAATGGCATTTTTGTTTGGTTTGGGTTATAGACTAATTTGTGACATTATATCATCCATATTTGTAGGTCAATGAATGTATCTTAAATACATCGGTGTAAGAAAGGTTGTGTTTGGGTGACTCTGTGCTATTACAGTTTGAATAACCCTTTGGGTTACTGTTCCTTTGCACACAGAAGGTTGCTTTAGCCTGTATTACCTTCCTCTTCCTTCTGGGATATCCCTTAAATTCTGTTACTCTTCCCACATTCCTAGGGCCCCATTTCTTTACTTTTGTCTTTGTGGAAGGAAGAGCTTCAGGCTCCCTCCAGACTTAGAGGAAGTGACCACTAGGTTAGGAACAGCCTGGTAGCAGAAGAGGTATTGCTTGCCTCCCTGATCATTCCCAAACCTTCTGGAACTCTTTCATGGCTCATGTAAATTTACCTACCAGGGATGACCAGTTAAATGTTGTATATCACCTAGTCAAATTGTGATTGTTTTCCTCTTTCCCAAACCTTTGATTCCTTTGTAACCTGTCATTTGCTACAGGGATTTCCACTCTACAGCTTCTTTCACTAAGAAGAAAACAAATGATTTTTTTTTCTGCTTCCCAATTAGCCGGGTTCCCTTTTAGAAAGTGTTCTTTCCTTGTGTGGTCCTTGATCCTTCCTACAATCTCAATCTCTCTCTCTCTCTCTCTCTCTCTCTCTCTCTCTCTCTCTCTCTCTCACACACACACACACACACACACACACACACACACACACACAGTGGCCCTAATAGGAAAGAGCACAACTGCCCCATAGGATTTCCAAGGCTTTAAACCATTATGGAAACCAACGGCTACATGTTCCTCCCACAGAGCAGCTGGTGGGTTTGAACCCATGACCTTTCAGTTAGCAGCTGATTGCTTTAACCACTGCATCACGAGGGCTCCCCAGTATCACAAAGGGCTCCTGACAATAAGACATCTTAGCATAGTCACGAGTTTCAGAGCCAGGGACTCGACACCACTCTAATCATGATACCCCATTGGCTCCCCATGTTCCCAGCCCCAGGAATTTGAGAGAGCCAGCCAACTGTATGTTCACTGCTCCCTGCTCCCTGCTGCTGCTCACTAATCTTTGATTGACTTTTTCAGGGTGAACAAGGGCCTCCGGGTTTCCCAGGCATAAGTGGTCCTCCCGGCCTCCCGGTAAGTCTCTCTGTATGGGTCAACCTATAACCAAGGGTCTGCTTGGACAAAACTGTTAGCACTAGAAGGCCAACAAAGCGAAATACAAACCTCTTCTGGGGATCCTTGTAGGGAATTCCATCGTCTTCAGGAGGCATTTCAGGAAACGTTCTGGTTTGTCAAGCCCGTGAGGCTCAGCTTCGGTGAGGCTCAGGCTTTAGAGTCAAGACAGGCGTAGTCTTGACTTTTGCTGTCACCAATTTCTAACTTTGTGATTTTGGACAGATTCATGAACTTTTCTGAACCATCATTTTTATATATCTAAATTTTTCCCTAAAGGGCTGGTAGTGGGGTGGTTATGAGAGGTAAATGAGACTATCTCATTTTTCAACATTTCATATTTGTGACAATAGTAAAAACATCTCTATGACTATTTTGTACATCAATGACAAAATGTGAGGTAAGCGCAAACACTGATGGTTAAGAGTATAAATCAGCTTGTCTGGGCCAAGATTCGCAGTGGTTTGGCAGTTATGTAATAATGAAATTTGACAGTTCTGTGCTGATGTAATTTGGTAGCTGTGTCATGATACCTCCACTTTGTAATTTGATATGACAACCCTCCATTTTTCAGAGAACACCAATTTTCACATAGCAACTTTGTCTATGGAATCCAGCCATGTGTATAAGTGAAGAGTGGGTTTAATCTCTATTTTCACATTCATCTCTACCTTTGTATCTTAGACGCTTTGATTCAATAAATAGCTTGTCAGGGCTCCAATATGCACACTATGAAGTGGCTGGAGGGCAACTAACGACAACAGCAGCAACATACGCCAAGCAATCCGCTGCACTCTGAAGCTACAACTGTAAATAAGTGAACACTTTGCCTCAAGCAACATTCTATTCTAATTTGAGTGGAAGGGGACAGACATTGGCAAGTAAACAAATGAGTTAATAACTGTTTCACGTAAACCCCAAACGCTATTGTGATTCTGACTCACAGCGACCCTCTAGGTCAGAGTAGAACTGCTCCTGCAGGTTGCCAAGGCTGTAATTTTTATGGGAACATCTTTCTGCCTCAGGGTAGCTAGTGGTTTCAAACTGCTGACCTTGCAGTTGGCACTGTATTATCAAGGCTCCTCTTTTTAAACCAAACCACTCTCATCGAGTGGATTCTGACTCAGTCTGACCCTATAGTTTCACATAGTGTGAAGTAATGTGTTGTCAGTTGCTATAGAGTCAATTTGACTCGGTGCGCCCATGTGTACAGAGTAGAACTATATTCCATAGGGTTTTCAAACCTTTTAGAAGCAGATCACTGGTCTCACTTCAAAACACCCTTGGTAGATTTGAACCACTAACCTTCCAACTAGTAGTCCAGTAGTCAACCACTAGTACCACCAGAGGGACTCTCAATGATTTATAAAAGTTTGTTTAAAAAAAAAAAGAAGTTTGTGTGTGTATGGGGGGGGTTCCCCTCAAGAATAAAGTGGTTGGAATGCAGATTCCGATTAGAGTGGGCTACTTTGGAAAGAGCGTCGAGAAGAGTCTCTGAGAATGTGATGGTATGAAACGAGACCTGAGTATTATAAGGGAGCCAGTCAGCTGAAGACTAGGAAGAGTTTTCAGGCAGAATGATAGTATCAGCACAGCAACTCATTAGCGAGCACTTAATATGAGATATTGAATCCATATTCAAATTCATCAGATCATCTCATGAATATATGTTCTGACAGTTGAGTTTGAATCAGGATCCAAACAAGACCCACGCCTTGAATCTGGCCGATATGTTCCTTAAAGCACAGTGGGTGTTTTGAAGGGAAAGTTACTGAGGTGTCCCGGGTTAGGGTGAGCCCAAATGAGTAAGCTGGGCTGGATAGGGACTCCAGTGCTTCCCTACAGTTCTTGGCAACATGTTGGCTTTTCCAGGTGGCCAAAAACCCTGGTCAGTGGAGCCAGTGACACAAGTGGCTTGCATGATGATCCCTATAGAGGCATAAAGACTCATCTGCTTATTGGCCCTCAATTTTAATTGTTTCTTTATGTAATGAGTCAAAGAGAAAGAGAATCCTTGTGTTAGAGATGAGAGACCTTGGACTTGAGGCCCAATTCCACCTCTGGGACTTTGGGCAAGTCATTGAACACGCTACATATCTGTCATACGGCACTGCTCACAGCTACTGTTTTGAGGCCTAGTGGACAATGTATGTGAATACCGCCCCCTATCCTCCAGTTTCTTCTGGTCCCAGTAGTAGTGGTGTTTTCATCTCTTTCCAAACCAAAACCAAATTCACTGCCATCCAGTCAATGCTGACTTTGAGAGACCCCTCCCGTGGGTTTCCAAGACTGTCACTGTTTACAGGAGTAGAGAGTCTTTCTCAGAGCTGTTGGTGGTTTTGCACTGTTGACCATGCGGATCGCAGCCCAACTCAGAACCATTATGCCATCAGGGCTCCCTCATAAAAGCTATGCTGTCTATCTGAACTGCTAATCACCTAGCCACATGCGGTTTCCGAGCCCTGCAAATGTGACTCATCTGATTAGAGACGGAGACCTGCTGGGACCGTGGTTATGCTTCAGGCTGCTAACTGCAAGGTCAGCAGCTTGAAACCACCAGCTTCTCTGTGGGAGAAAGACAGGGCTTTCTCCTCCCACGAAGAGCAAACAGTCTCAGAAACACACAGGGTCAGTTCTGCCCTCGTCCTGTAGGGCTTCTGTGAGTCGCCATCGACTTGATGGCAATGAGTTTGGTTTCAGAGAGTTTGTAAGCATACAAAGAGCCCTGCTGCTACTGGGGTCTGGGTATTGGGTTGCTCGCTATAAGGGTGATGGTTCAAAGCCATCAGGGGTTCAATGGGAGACAGATGAAGCGCTCTGCTCCCATAAAGATTTAGTCTCATTACGTGTCAGAATGGACTCAATGGCCGTGGGAACTGAGTAAGTGTCAAATAGATCCTAAAACTGCCCCTGTGGGTTTCTGAGAGCGTACATCTTCAAGGGAGTAGAAAGCCTCATCGTTCTCTCTTGGAGCAGCTGCTAGTTTCAAAGTGCAGACCTTACGGTTAGCAACCCAACGTGTAACCCCCTATGTCACCAGGGCTCCTTGTATGGCATAATATATGAATGAATGTAAACCGTCTCGTTCGTAATTTTCCCTTGGTTACCTGTTGAAATGACAATGTGTATGACATAATAGGGTACACCTGATACATTACATTTCATCACACCTGGTGATGGCAGTGAGCTGAGAACTTAGTGTATTTTTACGTTTTTAATGTGGCTTTTAGAAAATGGAAAATAACAGAGTAGTCCATATTATATTGCTCTTAGATAGCACTGCTGAACTAAGCAAATGGACTTTGGGATGAGGTTGGCACCTTTCTTTGTAGAGCATTTACACATAAAGCCTCTTCACCTCACATCAGCCCTGAGGGTGAGGCAAGGTGGGTCTGGCTTATCTATTTGTACTGAGGAGGACCCCACTGCCCAAAGGGCTGAAAACGCTTGTCCAGAGTCACACAGTCCAGAATCCTTAGCTAAGCAGAGAGGAGTTCAGCTCTCTGGAGTGCTAGCCCATTCAAGGCTTTTCCCCAATACCATACTGCCCCCTGCTGTCCAGTCCGTTCCCGTCAGGGTGACGGTGGTGTTTTCGTCTCTAAAATGCGTACGAAATGATTTTCTGGGTCTCGAGTGTTCATTGCTTCCTCCCTAACTCCCCTTCCTTCCGGGTTCTTCTGCAGAGGCTGTTCTCTTCCGAAATTTCAACCCAGTCCCCTTTGTCCTGTAAGAGAGAGATAAGCGAACGGATGGCAACACACGGTGTTAAACCAGCACTACCGTTTGAAGCACAGCACCAGTTTGAAACAGTGTAGGCGGAACACAGACAGCCCAGTTGGCTGTAAAGACATCAGAGCTGGAGAATACCTCCATTAATATAAGACACAACCAAACACACTCGCTCCCAGCAACCCTATTGGATGGGACAGAATGGTCTTCATGAGTTTCCGCGACTGTAACTCTTTACAGGAGTAGAAAGCCCACTCCGTCACAGATTCAATGTGGGATCACGCCAAATCATTGCTGTAGGCGCTAATATTTCTGCCATCTTAATGCACACATTCAAAGGCACCTTCTGTACCCTCTGACAGCAAAGTTGTGAGACAAATGATGCTAACCTATCTGAGGTGCTCTGTGTATTTTCAGACTAAACACTTCTGAAATCCAAGGCCCGGAGTACCTTGACCCCATTACCATCTTTCTTCCCTCAATTCACTGCCATTAGTTCAATTCTGACTCATAATGACCCGGTAGGACAGAGCAGAACTTCCCCTGTGGATTTGCCGAGACTGTAACACTTGACGGGTATAGAAAGCCTCATCTTTCTCCTGTGGGGTACCTTGTGGCTTTGAATCTCCGACCTAGTGGTTCACACCCCAACACATAACTCCCTATACCACCTAACCTAAATCTTGTCAGCAGTTGCCAACAAGTAAGTAGTCCACCCGATAGGTATGCCCCACCTTCTTTCTCTGGCTCCTTCTCTACAGGAACCAGACACCTTGGTTTCTCTGCCTCAGTCCCCGTTCCACATGTTTTATCCCATTGTGCTCACCGGCACCCACATACTGGTAGGAAATAGGTCCTTAACATGGGGTTTGTAAGAGAGGATCATATATGTATCTATGTGTCTCTGTTCAAGGGACTGGCAAACACAGGGTAAGGCAAAAGGGGAGAGCTGAGGTAAAGGGGGCTAGAAGGAGAACGAAGCTGGGAAACTCTGGGGCAGTGACTGGGTCATTGGGGCTCTTCAATTGAACCTCCCCGGAATCGGGACCCAAATGAGCAGTCCTGGGGACTGCTAAGGTAGCATGTAGCTCTTATGGCCACGAGGGATGCCCATGACAAGGGCTGGCTCTGTGAGAGGGCCAGGTCTGGAGGGTGTCTTGTTAGAGCAGCTTGTTCAGTTGGCCTCTAGACAGTGGCTCGCTGCCCTGGAAGGCAAGCTGAGTCTACCACACAGGAGTCTTGCCAAGCCATTTGTGTTGGATTTTGTTTTGGTACACCCCCGCAGCTTTCTTTTCCTTTGTGAGAAATCCATTTATTTATTTTGGAGCACACAATTGCACAAGCTTCTCAGCCACTCTCCTGAAGAAAACAAGAGACGAGAGGTTCTTTGTGCTTTCTCAAGCAGTACAAGGGACCCCTTGTCTTTACAATGTGGATGACATAGCTCAGGCGGGGGACGGAGACGGTTTCTGGACATGCATTCCTTCACCATTGGAGATAGTTTTGTTCTCTGGGTCCTTATTCTGTTCAATTCACAAGGAGTCTACTTTGTCTCTTGTCGGGCTACAGGGAAACAGCAGTGTGTGGTAGACCCTCTGTGTCCATACACACCAAATCTTAGTATTTGAAGGGCTTAGGGGAAGGAAGGGGTCCCATGGACTGCCATAGCTTCCCCATGGTCTTGTTCAGGCAGGCCACTTACAGTGTTTGACTTCAGAGATCGGTGCCCACATGCCACCAGGTGGCAGCATGCTTCAGTTGTCCATTTAAGATGCAGAGAAGTAAAATGCCAAATCAGTTTGCATTAAATTGAACCCAAAGGCCTTTCTCTTCAGCATGCCTGAGCTATTGGAGACTCAAGAACTTTTTTTTTTTAATTTTAAACCTCCAACTCACTGCCCTCTCATAGTGGCCATATAAGTAGGTGAGAACTGCCTCTGTGGGTTTCCAAGACTAACCCTTTGCAGGGGCAGAAAGCCCCACCCCATCAGTCTACCGAGGAGCAGCTAGGGCTTCGAACTGCTGACCTTGTGGATCACAGTCCAGTGCATAAGCAGGATGCCACTAGGTCACCTCGCCAACTAAAACCAAACTCACTGCCATCAAGTCAATGCTGGCCCAAAGCACCCCTAGACATGTTTTTAAAAAAATGAGACAGAGAAGGAAAATACAACCCAGCCTGTTTCCAATTAGACCCTTCACACGCACGTATGAACACTCACACGCAAACATTCCCCACTCCCAATAAAAAGGCAACAACAAACAAATATGTCACAGCCCAAATAAATAACCGTGGGCCTAGAAAAACTAGGGGCCGTTACGCCAGCTTCCTGTAGTCATGGGAACAAACTGAATCTGTAAGAGGAGGAAATGGCGACAAATGAGATTGGAGCAGTGCCTTCATAGCAGCCGAGCCAGGTCACCCCAAGAGGATAACAGATGGGCCACACTTAGTGTCGTTCACAAGCTTATATTTGAGAAAGTGTCACACAGACACACACACACACACACACACACACACCAGGCCCCCTGCTTTGCTCTCCTTGCCAAAACCACTGCCCAAACTCCCTGTCACCGACTCCCTTTCCGTTCAGAATAGAACCGTCCCTGTGGGTTTCTGAGACTGTAACTCTCTGCGGGAGTAGCAGCCTGGTCTTTCTCCCGTGGAGTGGCTGGTGGCTTTGAATTGCAGCCCAACAGCTAACCACCCTACACATGCACTGCCATCGAGTCTAGTGACTGTCTAGTAAGTCATTCTTCATGTCACCTGCTGAAATAAAACCCAGGCGCCAGGCAGTGGGATTCTAAACACCAAAACCATAGCCTCCGTGGACTTTCTGCTTTAGTGATGGACTTTTCTGTATTGGGGGTGCCCGGAATGCACTTGTAGAGCGAAGCTCTCTCACACCCTGCTTCTTGGATTTCTTGCTTGGCCCTAGAGAATCTCTAAGTCATGTTGTGACACTCCTCTCGTGAACATGCCATGAGGGGGTGGAGACCTTCTCGCCATGCCCTTTGGAGCGTTTTTTTAGGGCCATGCAAGAGCCCCAGGGTCTCAGGAGAGTTGCGGCAGGCTCCTGGCCAGGCCTCAATAGAAATAGTCCTGCCCTTGAAGATGTTGCAGTGTGTCTTCAAAGGGGGAAAACAACAGATCATCCCTCCAGGGTCAAGCCCCAAGGATTTGCACAGTACTCCGTCAAAGAATCACGTTCCTAGATTACGCAGGGCAGTGTGTTCACGTCGAAGGGCTCAGGACTTTAAATAAGAAGACGTGGCTCTCTCTCAGTGACTTTGAAGCCTGTTGATTTTGACTCTTGGCCACCCCATGTGGGTGCTGATAGAACGGTGCACGCTAAGGTTTCCTGTGGCTTGATTTTTTTTTTTAATAGAACACCAGACCTTTCTTCTGAGGCACCTCTGGGTAGATTCAACGCTCTAATGTTTTGATTAGCAGCCAAGCACATGCACCCTTTGCACCCCTGAGTGACTGCTCTATATAATTTGTACAGGATACTGAACCCTGCTGGACATCCGTTCCCCCATCTGTAAAATCAAGGAGGCAATTAGCAATGTAATCATTCCTGAGCTGTTAGTAGGTGACGTAGTAGTGTTTATGGAGGAAAACAACTCTTCTAGAACCAAAAGGGAACCTTGAATAAATGCTCGAAATTACTCTCTGGCCCTATATTGTTTTCAAGAAGTGACACGAGCCCCTAAGGAAGTGGTTTTCTTGCCCTTTGAAATGATCTCCTTATTATAGAGATCTGGGAGGAAATGAATGTTGTTGGGTTGTTGTTGTTTTGGGGGGGCGGGAAATGAATGTTTTAACTTATGGTTTCTTGTTTTTCCTTTAGGGAATTGGAAGTATCAGAGAAATTGGAGAAAGGGGCATCCCTGGTTTGCCAGGACCTAGGGTATGACTGTAGACTGTTTCTGTCAAGTCACCTGGTCCATTTTCTTCCCTGTTAACAGCTTGATGGCCCACTAAGTTTGCTTGTTTTGTCACCCTCTGCTGAGGCCCTAAAACCTCCTCCTCATCACTTAGTTCCATGTTCTTGACTAAGTGACTCCAGTGAATAGAGAATGAGGCACTTCCTTACTCTAGATAGCTCCTCAGCCTATTGACCCTCCCTGCCCTCTCCTCTTCTCTTGCTTGATTCCATTCTATTCAGGGACATGCACAGTGGGGGTGGGGGTGGGCTGGAACATAATGAGTGGCAGTTGGAGGTCAGCCGTTTTTAATAATAATCTTACTTCAAATGGAGAAATATTATCTATCCGCCTCTCTGATTCCTAAATTCAGACACTTAGATCTGGGGCTACAAGCACTTGGCCAGTCTTAGCTTTAAAGAAATAACATTTTAGAAAACTGTGTTTGAAGCTTGGCCATGAAGCTGGTGAAGGGCCCTCTGACTATTTAGGCATATGCACCCATTAGTCTGCCATTTCTTTCTCTACTTTTGCCCTACTCCCTTATCTTAAAAACTTGTACAACCGAAAAGTGGGTGAAGGGAGACTTCGGACAGGGCAAGATATGAAAAAATACCCATTTATAAACTATCAAGGGCTCATGAGGGAGGGGGGAGCGGGGAGGGAGGGGGAAAATGAGGACCTAATGTTGGGGGTTTAAGTGGAGAGAAAATGTTTTGAGAATGATGGACAAATGCGCTTTACACAATTGATGTGTGTATGGATTGCGATAACAGTTGTATGAGCCCCTAATAAAATGTTTTTAAAAAAACTTGTAATCACAAAGAATGCATTTGGGGTGAGAACAAAGAGACCCTCCCATAATTTATTTTAAAATCTCATGACTTGGAACTAATGCGGACGAAGTATAAAACTATCAGTCCCCCCACCAAATTCCACCTAGTTCTTAAAGCGTTTCCGTTTATTTAGCTCTGAAAAATGCTCCACGTGGCTATTCAGACTGATGGATTCGTGTACAGAAAGACTCATTAAACCAGGGTTGGGAACATTACCTCACCTGATTTTAAAACAAACCAAACAAATCCACCTCCCAGTCAACTTGATTTCTGCTCAGTTACCTGATTTCGGGAGCTGCTGTATTCTCCATTCAGTTGGATAGCTTTGTTGTGTAGATCTAGCATTTTTGTTTTGTTTTTCTAGTGTGGACTCTTAATCTAAGATGTCACTATTCTCTTGACAGGGACCCCTGGGCACTGAAGGCTTCCCAGGTGCTCCAGGGATTCAGGTATTTTGGTTAAGATCATTAAAGCCTTGGTGTCCAAAGCTGGATCGAGAGATCATCGTGCTTTATTTAACATGGTCATAGATCCAAAGGGAGGCATTGCTTACAATTCAGATTCTTTGCCTCCATTTTATGGATATAACTTTAGCCATTATTTTTTGTTTGTTTTCATTCAAGAAAATGGCTTCAAGAAACACACAAAATCCTGCCATTCAGTGAGTCAATTCTGTCTCATAGTGACCCTAGTTTCTGAAGCTCTAAGTCTTTACAGGAGCAGATAGCTGCATCTTTCTCTGGAGGAGTGGCTAGTGGGATTGAACCACTGACTTTGTGGTTAACAGCTCAATACTTACCTGTTTGTACCTCCTTAATATTCACATTGACTTCTAAATGATATTGCCTTCTGGAAGACTCTATAGCCACCAGAGTCCGGTAGAAGCCAGACCCTAGAATGGTAGGCAAGATCTCTATGCCATATGCCCTAGCTTACCCCCTAAACCGCCCCCTCCTAGGATTTGAGACATTCAGCTTAATGGTAACTTTGTTTCTGTCACAGGGCAAAAAGGGAACCTCAGGTTTCCCGGGGAGAAGTGGATTACCAGGAATTAAGGTAACAATGCTGGGGAGTGACCATCCAGGGTTGAGGAGATGGAAGGGTGAAGAATTACCATATTAGATGTCACTCTTCGCTCAAGAAATCCCCACATAACCTACTTGGAACACACAAAACTGATGAATATTCCATAGAGGCCACCTGCTCAAAGGCAGGCCAAGGGCAGGGGGCTGATGGGAGTAAGCCCATCCCTATGCTGAAGAATGTTATATGACTGATATTGTTTACAATTCCGGGATGTTTTATTTTATTGTTTTTACATTTCTTTGGGGCAGAGAGCGCCTACTACCCCACCTTTGCTATGCCACTGTATCTGGTTTTGATAGCAATGTCCTCCTTTGGGGAGAATCAGAGCTCCATTGACCTTATTTGCCTGACATCACCAACTGCCCTACAGTGACAGGAACAGAGTTCCAGGGCTACAGAGAGTTAAAAAAAAAAAAAAAAAGCCAAACCTCTGCTCCCTCCATTAAGACCTCTTGGGAGGAGCCATATTGTTTATACCTGTGATAGATTTTCCAGGACCAGCAGAACATTGTCTTTTAGAAGGGTTCCAAAGCTAAATTGGAATCTCTGGCCCTTGACAGATTTGTAATTGAGTGTCAGGCCTCTTGTCTGCCTGTCTTGCCTCCATATTACATTTATTGGACTTGGAAATTAACTTATGGGCTAGTTGACGTGGGAAATCAGGAGTTACCAAAAAAGGAACCTTTCATTTTCCTGGCGATTGACATTGATGGACCCTAGACCTTGAGTAACAAGGACATAGAAATATTTTTTTTAATGTCTTTAATCTTTTCAGGGTAACAAGGGCGATATTGGCCTGCCAGGCCCAGATACTGTCATTGATAAGGATGGCGTTGTGATCTCAGGTACACGTTTCATTTATTTGAGTGCAGAAGAAATGATGAGAGATTTCAATTTTATACCCATTATAATTGTTAAGAGTAGTCCTGGTTATGTAGTGGTTACAAGTTGGGCTGAAATCTGAAAGATCAACAGTTCGAAACCACCAGCCACTCCAAGAAAGATCAACAAGGCTTTCTACCCCTATTAGCAGTTAAAGTCTTGTAAACTCACAGGGACAGTTCTATAGGGTCTCCATGAGTTGGCATTGACTCAATGGCAGTGAGTTTGGGTCATTGTTAAGAAAATATTTTGTCAACCATTGGATTACTTGCTAAACCTAACACCCTCAGGGACCCAAATGCTGACTCTTCAAAGAAAGAGTTATGGGCCTTTATCTGAGAAGTGACACTCACTCTCATCTCTTGGAAAGAGAGGCCAAACCCAGTATCCCGTTTCGGTGCTGAGTACACCAAGACTAAGATGCGGGTCTTCCTTGGCTTCCAAGAGAAACCCCCCAATCCCACTGCCATCACATTGGTTCTGACTCAGCGGCCACACAGGGCAGAGTAGACCAGATTCCTAGGTTTTCCAAAACTGCAAAATTTCACAGTAACAGACAGCCTCATCTTTTTCCCTTTGGGAGGGCTGTGAGATTTTAACTGCTGACCTTGCAGTTAACCGCCCGGTGTATCACCAATCACACCACCTGGGCTCCTTTGCTTTGGCCCAGATGTGGGGAAATCAGTTCTTCTCATGAAGCTGAGGGAAGAATTGATCTTTTTGGCAGATGCACTCCCCTCAGCACGATGCGGTGGGACACGCAAGGTCGCGTGTAGGTAAACTTATGAGAGCTCGAGTTTGACAATCTCAAGGGAAATAGGGGGTGGGGAGTATCTTTGGCTAGGGCACAAGTGGTTGACATCTCAAGAACACTAACAGCCTTAGGACATTTGTGGTCAACTTTCCTTATCCTACTTACGATGTGTGCACAAATCTTCCCTAAACATCCAAACGCCTAGTGACCCAAAGGCGTCTACAATAATGCCTCTTCCACCTGGGTGTCAGTAACTTATCCCTTCCCTCTCATCCTCTTAAACCCATGCCTTGTCTTGTCGTTTATTTCAAACTGAATGGTTAATGGTTGGCAGAAGTTTCCCATGTTCCATTCTCAGAAAATCAAAGTGTATCAGCATGAATATTAGATGACACCTTAGCCCAAATGATGGGCATTTGGGGTATTTACAGTTGCTTAGTAGTATTAGTAGTTGTACAGTTCTCCTAGTACTTATCAGCACTTACCATAGAAGCCAAGCCCTGACCAAATTATTTCTGAACACTGGTGGAGCCTTGATTCTGATAGGTCCATTATCATTTGTGGCCATTGGCATCTGGGAGATCTGAACAGGGCAGGAAAGGCACTTCTAACTCTAGGGCAACTACCTGCATTTCTTCCTAGGCCTTTTGTACCATTTAGAGACCACCTCTGAGTTTGTTTACTGCTCCCTCCCCCGCAGGCCATCCTGGAGACCCAGGTGTTCCAGGCCTCCCTGGACGTAAAGGAGATGAAGGCATCCAGGGCTTGCCTGGCCTGTCTGGTACCCATGGCCTCCCCGCAATAATACCAGGTGAAGGAAACCAATCCCCATGCCCTCGAAAATATTCCTTTATTCACTCCAATGTCCAGAATCCCCTTCGGTAGATGACCCCTGGGCAAAGAAAGGAAAGATAGATTCTACTCATTAGGTTCCACACTGCCGGCCCAAAGATAATGTATATAGGCCTGGGGCCTGGGTGAGTAACTTTCTTTGGAGTAAACAATGCACCATAGTTAAAGGGTAATCCCAGGTCATGAAGGTTTGCAGCAACCAAAGGAGCCCTAGCTTGGGCTGATGAAGTTCTGTCCCTCTTCTGTGGGTATACCATCTTCTTAGCTGACGCTTAAAACAGAAAAGTCACGGGACAATTTGCATCAAGACTATGTATAGTTTAGCTCTGGAATGAAATGGTTCCTGGCACCTTTGGGTGATCCTTAAACCAATCAGCCCAGGGGCATGCATACCCACATGGCCAAGTAGCAAGTGGATAAAGGAGTCCTACCAGGGTCAGTGGTTTCCAGATATAATACAGGCATAAAACCTCAGGTGGTACTTGGAAAGGCACCATTTTCTAAGCTCCTTGGAGACGGGCTTCTTGTCTACGTACCTGTGCTGTTAAAAGTAGCTACTGGGAGGAGGTACAGCTTCCTCCCCCCATCAGTATCTAAGTGGGAAAAAAATTGAGAAGTGGGAGGCTGGAGACCCAGGTTTTCCAAGCAAGTTTGCCTTGAGGAGACTCTGTGCCACCTGACCAGGCACCTCTTTCTTCCATTTCCCAAGATGTTTGGCTAGTTGATCCCCTAAGGACCCTTCTCACTCATGCGAAAGGAGGGCAAATGCTCCCCCAAATTCTTCCCTGGGGAATAGTTTCCAACATAGTTCCACGTCTGTGGAACTTCCCAAGAGTAGGGAGTTATGATGAGCGTTCTGGTGTGGGCTTCTCAATCTAGGTGCCCCAGGCCTCCTGGGGCCTCAAGGCGTTCCAGGCAAGAAAGGGAACCGAGGCGATCCAGGCCATACCACCATTGGAACAACTGGCCTCCCAGGCAGAATTGGTTTGCCAGGCCTGCCAGGCTTACCCGGATTACCTGGTAAGTGGTCTTCTCTCGCGCGCTGCTGAGACGCGGGTGTGATCCAGACTGCAGAATAGTTATGTTTTGGAGGGAAACATTTCACAAGTCAGACAGCTAATCTAGGACACAGGGCACATGCAGCCTCAGAGCCCTGCCTCTCAGCGGCAGAGCCCTGCTTCTCCATCCAGGAACATATAGGCTAGGCTAGAGCAACCGCGAAGACCGAACCCTACAGAATGCTTTGGACCTTTGTTCTTATTTTCATTCCTTAAACCTCTAGACCAGGGTTTCCCAAAGTGGGTGATACCCCCGGGGGATGGGGGGGCGGGGCGCTGCTGCAAAAGCAGATTCCTACACTTTATCCTGGCTTATGGGCTAGAGTACCAAAGTTTTTACTTTGTTTTGTTTTGTGTTCTGAAAAGGGAATCATAGGCTACATAAGTTTGAGGTCTCTTAGCACCTCAAGAAACAATGCTGGTGCTTTGAAGCATCTCTGGGTCCACAGGGCTCTAATGGAGTCAACTGGGAAGGGAGAAGACATGACTGGATCCTCAAGGCGGAAAGTAGCGACTAAGAGGCAGCACAGGGCTTATTCTCCTTAGTCTTTCCCTCTGAGTCTGTGTTTCTAGAGTCTGAGAGAAAGACTGGTCATCGATGACTTGGAAACCTCCCCAGCAAGATTTCTTTGTAACCTAAATGCCCATGACCACTGCAGCTTGCACCCATTTGCTCTTTTGTCCTAAGAGAACTTTCTAGGCTTGTTAGTGGGAATGTTGAGTTATTGACCTTTCCTTGTTCATTCCTGTATCCCCATTGTATCAGCATTGTCCCAAAGTCGGCATGAGCGAGTAAGCATTAGTAGAGTAAATGAATGAAGTCAACAGAGAATCCTGGTAGGATCCTTGTCTTGACTGGTGTTGACTCTGCTCTAGTTAGTTGTTGGGGCTCATCACGCAAGGCCTGGGTGGCTGAGCTGCTGTGCTGAGTTGCATGAGCCAGCCGTCAAGTGCGTGTAAGATGCTAGGCTTTTTTGTTTCTTTTTCCTGTAGGTCCAGCATTTGAGACCGGAACCCTAAAGAATGCAGAGCCAGGATTCCCTGGCCTCCGGGGAGAGAGAGGTCCAAAAGGAAAATCAGGCCTTAAAGGAAAGAAAGGTGATTTGTCCCCTTGGGTTTCCTTGTACCCAAACTCCTCAGAGAAGGGTTTTTGTGAGCAACCCAAAAAACCTTGGGAAATTGGGCAAAACAATCATGGATATTGATTGAGGATTTGCTCTAGGATTGTTACCATACTGTATCCAGGGTTCATCAAACAGGCTCAAATAAAGTACTGGTACCGCCCAACACCGAGGCTGAGCCTTGGTGGTGTAGGAGCCTTGTTGGCGAACGAAGACTTGTTGCCAACTGGAGCCTTGTTGGCAAAGCGATCCCCAGTTCTCATGTTCCAGACCACAGGTCTATGGGGCTGGTGGCTCCTTGACCTCTTTAAAGGCGCTTTTCTGAAATCCCCTTCCTCGATGGCTTGGGCAGTTGTCTCCTCTGTGTATACAAAGGCAGTGAGGTGACAAGAACCCTTGAATGGTTTGGATTCCAGATCCTAAGTGTGGATCAATGATTCTCAACTCTGGATGCACGTTGGACTCACTGGTGGCTGGCCCCACCCCAGACTAATGAAATCGCCATCCAGAGTAGGCCCACCCTCGGATGGATAATGAACCTAATTCATTTGAATTTGTTCTCTGACGCCCTTTTAATTCCTTCCATGAAGTTAGCTGTCCAAGTCACAGATCACTAGTATCAGGACTCTTTTTCTCTCAGAAAGATGGCCTGCTCTGTTTTATGATGTCCTTTTAAAAACAAAAACCACAACTTTTTATTGTTGATTGGATAAAGGTATACAGAGCAGATCTTCAGTTTTACATTCAACAATGCCTACACGTTTAGTTTCAACTCACCCATTGCGATCCCTTCAATGTATCACCACTTATTCTGCTTCTCCCAGTGTTTCCTGTTTCCATTCCTCCATCTTTCCTAACCCACTGAACTTTGTCCTCTGGCAAATGCTATCCTTTTCTACATAAATGGTTGCTAAGTCTACCCCAGGGCTAAATTCAGTTCCAGGCCTGAAAGGTGCCTAAAGGGCATAGTCTAAAAAGCTCCACCTGTCTCTAGCTGATGAGTAAACCAGGTCTCTTTCATGATTTTGAGTTCTGTTAAATATTTTCCTCCCATTCTATCTGGGACCTTCTAACATGATCCTTTTCAGGGCAGTTGGCCGTGGTAGTCAGGCACCATCTAGTTCTTCTGGTCTCGGTTTCATGGAAACGGTATCTGTGTGGCTCATTAGAGTCCATTAGATCAAATGTTTCCTTATGTCTTTCCATTTTCATCTTCTTTCCTCTAGATGGGAAGAAGCCAAATGTTGCACCTGAGAAGGCTGCTCATGAGCTTTTAATGATGCCTTTTTTCTCTCTTTCCCCATTCCAGGAGACCCTGGTGCTTGCTTCTGTGATGGTGGTGTCACCAACTCTGGACCACCTGGAGAACCAGGCCTACCTGGACCACCGGGTTTCATGGGTCGTCCAGGTCTCAAGGGGATCAAAGGAGATGCAGGCTTTCTGGGTGCCGAGGGTCCAGCTGGGGCTCCAGTGAGTCTTGCCAAACTTTGGCCCCGAGGGAGCAATAGGAACCTTCAAGCACCTCTCCCTCCATACTGATTACTTTTCTAAAGCACATTAAAAATGGAAGAGGCTGAAGCAAAGTTTTAGCTTTTGAAAGGTTTATCTAGGTGTTATCTTAAGTCCCTTTCAACTTTAGCATAACTACATTTCCTCCCTCCATTCCTTCATCCCACAAAATATATTTGGTTAGCAGACTGACACTTTACCCTCTGGGCCATTAGTGTTCCTTAGACTTTGTATATGATTTATATTTGCCTAACACGTAAACTCTAAAAACAAAACTGGGATTGTAGGTGGAAACATAGCAGGACACCCCCCACACACACCAGTGGCAGCTCTCAGGGTCAGTGGCAGAGTCCCAGTAAGCAGGGAGGAAAGAGAAGGGGGAGGCCATACCCCCAAGGAGGCATGCTGGATTCCACCTCTACACGTGTCTGCATCTTCAAGTTGACATAAAATCAGCTCCCCACCACAGCAACCTCGCAATGTACCCAGAGCAACATCAGAATGTACCCCAGGACTTGCCTTGGGTCAGACCTGGTATTAGATGCCACAATTCTAAGATATCTGTAACTCCTGATTCTTCCCTTTTGTCTCTTTGTCAGGGTTTATTTGGGGCTCCAGGTCCTGCAGGCCTCAAAGGAGATAAGGGCGAGCCAACTCTCAGTATGCGATCAGGGATGCCTGGGGAACAGGGTATCCAGGGGCCCCAGGGGCCCCCAGGCCAAACAGGAGTCCCAGGCAAGGATGGAGTACCAGGGACACCAGGTCTACCAGGTTTTCCGGTAAGTTGATCATTCCCATAAATCCTCACACCTGATTTAGAAGTTCTGGTGGTTATGAGCCAGGGCAGACTAGAGAAAGACCCAAAGCGCCTCTTCTGGCCTCTGCCAGTGATTTACTGGGACACCCTGGAAGCTTTTTGCTGGGTGCTTTCTGCAACATGGGAATCATCTTCTCGGCCTGGGACATCATCTCATTTGCTAAATGCTAGTAACCATCAACCATGTCACTTAAAACGTTTCCACTTATCCATGGCATTTCCCTGCAAGTAATCCAGCTGCTTTCTGTAATCTCAACTGTGGCCATTATCCTGGCGCTGATGCCTTCCTTATAGATCTAGAACCTTCTGTATCATCAGATCCCCTATGATGACAAGGCTCATTGTGCACTAACCAAACTTGCTTGATACGACGGAGTGATAGAAAGGATAAAGAAGGATGTTCCGAAGACTCTCCAGGTGAGACTTGGAGTTGGATTTTTATTCTGGTTTTTTTTGTCTCTTGTCAAGGGCGATTCTGGCCAAGGATTTCCTGGGGATGGAGGGTTTCAAGGAATCCCCGGAGAAAAAGGTCATCATGGTCCACCTGGCCCTCCAGGAATTGGTTTTTTAGGAGCTCCTGGACTCCGTGGGCCCCCTGGAGACCCAGGAATAGATGGCTTACCGGGAAAACAAGGTCTTCCTGGACTTCCAGGTATGTCAGAGAATTAGATGTCTTTGAGCTTGGAAAACTGGCCCTTGGTAGGATGTAGTATGGCCCCAAATACATGAAATGTCATAAGCTATTTGTCTGATGATAATTACTACTTTCAATGTTCATCAAGGTTTTCATGTGGACAAAAGATCATAATTGTATTGAGGAAAGCTTTGTGGACAGAACAATATACATTTTATTGTTAGTAAAGAACTAGAACTTCTTCATAGAGCAGTGTAAAAATATAATGGGCTGTCTGGGGGAGTTTTACACTCATAGTCACTAGAAGAAGTTCAAGGAGGTGGATAACTATGCTATATTCACTATAAATGTCATGAAAGTAATTAGTGGGAAATTGAATCCTGTGCCCTCTAGGTTGGATAGTCATATCATTCCATCAGAGAGGAACCTTTTCTCAATTGACAAAATATCAGAATGGAAAAAGACTATAGTTGTGTCTAGTTTAACCTCATTTGGTACTTTAATCTCCTCTTTCATATAACTACTTATTCTGTTTGAATCTCGAGATTTCTAATGTGAGATGGTCCTGCTTAAGGCTTCTAAAGGTGCTGTGCTAAGGATTCACCTTCTTTAAAACAACCACCACAACTCTTCATTCCATTTTCCTGTTAATTTGGTGCAGCCCCCTCATATATTGAGTGGTTTTCTTGACATTGAGTTGCACTTCATACTGAAGGCTACAGACCTTGATCTCCATCAGCAGGTGCTTCAAGTCCTCAGTTTCAGCATGCCAGGCTGTGTCAACTGCATAACAGAGGTTCTAATAAGATTTCTTCCCGTCCTGATGGCTGGTGTTTATATACTCCAGCTTCTATGACGATGTGCTCAGCACTCAGATTGAAAATGTATGATGAAAGGATATAACCTCGATCCACACCTTTCCTGATTTGAAACCGTACAGTATTCTCTTGTTCTGTTCACATGCTGCCTCGTGATCCATGTCCGAGTTTCACACGAGCATCATGAAGTCTTCTGGAGTTCCCATTCTTCTCCAAGTTGTCTGTAGTTTGTTATGATCCACCTGGTCAAGTGTTTTTGCATAGTAAACAAAAGACAAGCAAATATCTTCTGATATTCTCTGCTTTCAGCCAACACCCATCAGCAATGATATCCCTAATTCCAATTCTTCTTCTGAATCTGCCTTAACTTTCTGACAGCCCTTAGTTGATGTACTGCTGCAACTGCTGTTGAGCTATTTTCAACAAAATTTTACTTGCATGTGATATCAATGATATTATTCTGTAATTTCCACAGTCTGTTGCCTTTCTTTGGAATGGGCACAATATGAATCTCATCAAGGCAGTTGGTCAGGTATCCATCTCCCCAATTTCTTGGCATAGACGAGTGAGTGCTTCCAGTGTTTCATTAGCTTGTTGAAACATTCCAGTGGGTATTCCATCAATTTCTGGAGCCTTGATTTTGCCGAATGCCTTCAATGCAGCTTGGTCTTCTCCTTTCTATTATCTACTCTTGATCACATGCTACCTCTTTATATGAACAAATGCCAACCAGTTCTTTGTGGTACAGTGTATTATTATCCATCTTCTATTTTATTCCTGTTAAACCTTCCAGACTTACAGGCAGGATAGGAACAAATGTGTCAAAGCGGCAAGATTTTCTGTAGGCCCAGTGTCACTGATATAGATTTGGAATGATGATCAGTCAAGGTAACAAAAATAAATAATGAAAACCGTTGGTACATACACACAATGGAAAACTATGCATCACCAAAAAACAATGATGAAAGCATGCTTCCTGTCTCATTTAATATTTTGCCCATAGAAACTTGAATGTTCAGATTGATAGTTAGCTCTACGTCTTCGCACATTCCATTACAATACTTTAGCTTGTCTTCTCGAGCTGCCCTTTGACATTTTCTGTTCAGTTATTTTACACTGTCCTTTCTTCCACTTGCTTTAGCTATTCTATGATCAAAAGCAAGATTCAGAATCTCTTCTGGCATCCATTTGATTTTTTATTTATGTCTTGCCTTTTTAATGAACTCTTGTTTTCTTCATGTATGATGTTCTGGATGCCATCCCACAGTTCGCCGGCTCTTCTGTCATTAGTGTTCAAGGAGTCAAGGCTGTTCTTGAGATGGTCTCAGAATTCAAGTGGAATCTATTTGGCTCTTGTAGAATTACTTTAATTTTCTTTGACTTCAACCTGAACTTATGTAGGAGCAATAGATGGCCTGATCCACAGTCAGCCCTGAGCCTTGTTTTGGCTCATAATATTGAGCTTCTCCATCATCACTTTCCAAAGCTGTAGGCAATTTGATTGTCGTGTCTACTACCATCTGGTGAGATCCACAAGTAGAGTCACCCTTTATATTGAAAGGTATTTGCAATTAAGAAGACATTGGTCTCAGAAAATTCTTTCATACAATCTCCATGATTTCTGTCACGAAGGCCCTATTTTTTAACGATGGCCCTTTATTCTAGGAGCCTTGGTGGGTGGTGTTAACACCTTGGGCTGCTAACTGTAAGGTCAGCAGTTCTAAAGCTCCAGCTACTCCTTGGGAGAAAGAGCTCCTCACGAGAAACATGGGGCTTTCTACTCCTGTAAGGAGTCATTGTCTCAGAATCTCCCGGGAACAGTTCTTCTCTGTGCTATAGGGTGGCTATGAGTCAGCATCGACTCAACGGCAGGGAGTTTCTTTTCGTTGTTTTGGTCCCTTCGATGCTTCTAACTTTTCCATTGCAATCACCCATAATTCTCAACGTATTTGGATGGCATGTTTGATCAATTTCAAACTGAAGAAGTTGGTAGAAATCTTCTATTTCATTGTCGTTGGAAGGAGCCCTGGTGGGGTAGTGGGTTACACATTGGGCTGCTACCCTCGAGGTCAGCAGTTTAAGCAATCAGCTGCTCCAGAGGAGAAAGAAGAGGCTTTCCACTCCAGTGAAGGGCTAGGGTCTTGGAAACCCAAGGGGGTGGTTCTAACCTGTCTTGTGGGGTCGCTGGGAATCAGAATTGACTCAAAGGCAGGGAGTTTGTCAGTTTTCATTGATGATGCATACATTTGAATAACATTGCATTAACGGGATTTTCATGTGTGTGTGTGTGCAGATATTGTCCTGTCACAGACATCATTGAACTTCAAGACAGACCTTGAAATGTTCTGTTTCACAATGAACTCGACTCCAATCCTCTTGAATCTGTCATTCCCAGCATAGTCTAGTTCAAAATGGTCACTACCAGGCCATTTCCGCTCACGAATACCTGGGGTTTTGATCTTTATGTATACCATTTTGTTTTTCACTTTCTAATTTTCCTACATTCAGACTTAATACCTTCCACGTTCCAATTATTCATCGATGGTTGCAGGCCATCTCTTCCCACTTTGAGTCATGTCCCATCAACAAATGAAGTTCCCCCAAGCTTTACGCCAACCATGTCATCCTATTAGATGCTACTGTGGGAAGGCAAGTCTTGATCAGCGGCATCTTGAGTGCTTTCCAAGCTGAGAAGCTCATCTGCCAGCACTTTATCTGAGAATGTTCTGCCGCTGTGAACACTCACTCAGAAGTGAACAACCTCTTCCTTCTTTGTAGTCTGTCCTTAGTCTTGGAGCTCCTCTGAAACCTGTTCCCCTGACTATTAAAAATAACTGCTGACATAGCGTCTGACATCACAACAACATACAAGCCACCACAATTACAACAAACTGACAAATGGTGGGCCTATCAATGTACACCTCCCCTAAATCTTCTGGACACTGTCACGACTTCTGACTACTTGGTAACAGGCTCAGTTCCTAGAAGGGAGCTCCTGGGACCATACGTACCCTGAACTTCACTCATCATTGGGCACAAAGTTCTCAGGATTATAGTGACATAGTAAGCTAAAGTCTGGGAGATGCCTTGTGCAGTACCTAAGATTAACAAAAAATACTTTAACTAAAAGCACAAGCTTTCTCTATATATAAACTGCCACCCCATGTTCTACCTCCCATCTAGCTTTCTCTCCACACAATTAAACAACAATAATAATAACCTGTGGTCCCCAGACATTTGCATTGCCATCATTGCCATGAAAAATGGTGATGCTTTACCTGAGTGTACCCACACCAACCACCAGTGGCCCAGGCGTGGACAGCTGCAGTTCCAAGGAAGGCAATATAATCATCAGCAGCCTTTCCACCCCGCCTTGTGAAATATTAGCAACCCTGGACAGGAAGACAAGTGGCTGTTTCCAAAGCGGGTCTGCTCCAGATGCTGGTAGTAATCAATCATCCTGGTTATTACTGAAGCAGTCGCTGTGTGCTTGATCTTGTGCCAGTGCCAGACCTCTCTATTCATTCCAGACAGAGAGAATTTGCTTGGTGGGCCCGTGTGGGTCCAAGAGCCTCCAGGAACGTCTGCCCTGCTTTAATCATCTCCTCTGCTGCCTTGGTCTAGGTGACTGCTGCTGCAGGGGCAGGGAGAAACTTGGTAAAGGAGGCGGAGCCACAGAGGGAGGTGAGAGCCCGCTCAGGCTAGACGTTCTCAGACACCTGTGTGGCAACTCTCCAGCCTTTGGGTTCACTTTTGTGTCCCACACTCACGATGGCCTGAGCAGAACACCGGAGGCCCGGGTTAGGAGGGAGTGATCCTGAGCCGGCAGGGCGAAGGCTAACACTGACACTGCCTGGTACACTTTCTGCCCCGTACGCACTTCTGGGAGGGAGGAGTTCTGGGAAGAAGTAGGCATGCAGCCCGTGAGCTTGTCTGATTGCCTTCACCCTGCATGTTACTTACTGGCTTGGCTGCTCTTGGCTTTTAAGCAACTTCATTTTCCCCAACCTCAACGGGGCCATAAGTCACCCTGGGAGGTATCTGAAAAAACCCACACGTCTCATCTGTCGTTGTGGGATCCAGAGCCAATTGAGATGTCAGAATCTTGGTAACCAAAGACCATATTATTGTGGAGTTGGATGTTTTGCATTACTGGGGGTCGAGTGAGGCGGAATTCTGAATAATTGGGTTATTGGTAGCATTTCTAGAAGCCCTTGTGGTGTAGCGTGTTAAGTGTTGGGTTAAGCCAACCAACCGTACTTGGGAGTTCAAATTCACTAGCTGCTCCCTGGGAGAATAATGAGACTATCTACTCCCACAAAGACTTTTAGAAATCAGAGAGAGCAGTTCGACTCTGTCCTGTAGGGTCACTGGGAGTCAGAATCCACTGCCACAGCATTTGAGTGGGTTGTGGCAGGACCAAAACACAATGTGGGTGGAAGGGATGTAAAAAGAGCCGAATAACAGTATGTCCTGAAGGTTTTACTCCCCCCCCCCCCCGCCTTTTTGTTGTTGTTGTTGTTGCCATTGTGACCTTCTACTTGCAAATGCACATTTTTGGTGTGGTATACAGGACTGGCCTACAACAAACTTACGAAGAGTAGCATGTATTCTTTTTTTTTTTTTCTCTTTTTTCTTTTTTAACATTTTATTAGGGGCTCATACAACTGTTATCCCAATCCATACACACATCAATTGTGTAAAGCGCATTTGTACATCGTTTCTCAAAACATTTTCTCTCCATTTAAACCCCCGATATTAGGTCCTCATTTTTCCCGAGTAGCATGTATTCTATTCCTTCTCGTTCCTACTCCAGGAGGCCCGGTAACCTAGTGTTTATGCATTGGCCTGCTAATTGTAAGGTCAGCACTTCTAAACCACCATTTGCTCTGTGGGGGAAATGTGGGCCTTTTTACTCCCATAAAATGTTACAATCTGGGAAACTCACAGGGAAAGCTCCATCCTGTCCTACAGGGTCACTTATGAGTTGGCATTGACTCGATGGCACTGTTTGCTTTTGGTCTTGGGAGTTTTGACTCATCTTCTCTTGTCACATACACATTCCAGATGCCTGTCAGTGGCCCCATCCTTTAAAGCAGTGGTTCTCAACCTGTGGGTCATGACCCTTTCACAGGGGTCACCAGATTCATAACAGCAGCAAAATCACAGTTATGAAGCAGCAACAAAAATAATTTTATGGTTGGAGGGGTCACCACCAAATGAGGAACTGGATTACAGGTTTGCAGCATTAGAAAAGTTGAGAACCACTACATTAGTCGGTCCTGGAGAGAGGGGGAGAAAATTGTGGGGACCAGCTTTACTCATCTGATAGGCTGGTGGAACTCCAAGATCATGATCCTTAGTCACCCTTCAGGCCTGAATCTGATCTCACCCTTCGTAACTCAATTTTCAGCCATACAACAGACAGGTCTGTAAGGAGAAGAGTCAGACATTAGGGAATAGCCTTGCACTAGCTCTTGTGAAGTTTTCCCTTGAAGTAGGTGAAGAAGGACCAGTATTCATTGAGCATTTGCATGAGTGCCAGGCACAGTGCAAATGCTATTTAGCACTCATTGTGTGTGACACACACACGATAAGGTAAGAAGTTCCCATTTTACACTTGAAGATCAGAGAGATGTAGTATGTTACCCACACGGCTACTCAGGAGCAGGAGGAGGATATGAGCGAAGGGATCGTCCCCATAACAATCACGTTCTACAGTTCCATTTCCTGTCGTGATGTGGGCATTGAATGAGTAGGCTACAAATGGCATCAGGCCTTTCTATTTGCAGTGAGAAGTAGTAGTGGCAGGAAAGTGACAGCCAGTGGAGTCAGTCGTTTGAATCATAGTCTGTATGCGGAGCATTGAGAAATGTAATTTGTGACTTAAGTGCACGCACAAGCTATCATAGCACATGAGAACTGTTGGCTCCGGGGCTTAAAGCGACCCTAGGGGATTGTTTTAATGAATAGGGCAAGACTTAATTTTAATTAGCAAGGCAATTGTTTGTAAATGGTACTTGAGGGAGCCTACAAACAATTTGTTCCCCAGTATTTTATTAAGCCGTCCCTCTGTGATCTTATAGACTCTTTGTATTTGCATTATGAATGAGCAAGAAAGAATTTGCCAAGGGGCGGGCTAGGCAAAGACTGGAATCTGGGAGTCTAGAATCTTGAAAGTACCCACTCCTTCTCCTTGAGTAAAACAGTTGACAGTTTCAAATAGGGAGCTGAAGGAAGAGTCTTGGTTTGTCTTTCATGGACAAGAGATTAGTCTTCAGTGTTCTCCTGGTACAGGTCCATCCAACAAAAGGCATTAAATATGTCTCAATAGATCTGACAGGAGGTGTCAAGGAAAATACCCCAGTGGTTTGAGGAGAACCTCATTCATTCCAAGAAAAGGGCAGACATGTGAACCCAAGGAGTGTTGACTTCCAACACTCAAGTGGGTACAAGAGGCCAGTAGGGCTAACCTCAAGCCCTAGGGAGAGGCTCTGACTGAGGGCAAGGTGAGGAGGACAGTTGCCTAGGCTACCTGTAGAAAACCTTGTTCGGTGACAGCACCGATGGTTTGGGAAGTAGGATGTTGGCACTTGGACACTAAGGGCCTTCACATCTGTGTACAGTTGCTGTCTAGGAGTCATTCCCAAGAGTGTCTGATGCTAAGTAAGATTCTTCTGCATGGGCTGCCCGCTCCTCGGTGGGAAGAAGAACATGGTCATTCCAGAAAGTAGAAGGGGAGCAGAGTAAAGGAAGCTGTTAGGAGGAAGTCTCTCTGGACTCAGTGGATTGATCAGATGTTCACATCTTACCTTTTACAGGACTAACATTACCATGTATTATCACCGGGCCTTTTGGTCCATCAGGCCATCCAGGATCTCCCGGATTCCCAGGTACTTGATTGGGCCAGAGAAAGCCCCTGAGCAGAACTGTCAAGGATTATGGACAGAGTCCAGCCCAGGAGCACTGGGGAATCCACGTTCCTTCTGAGCCTTGGTGGTGTAGTGGTTTACACGTTGGGTTGCTAAGTACAAGCTCAGTAGTTTGAATCCACCAGCTGCTCCGTGGGAGAAAGACGAGGCTTTCGTCTCCTGGAAAGAGTTAGTGTCTCAGAAACTCACAGGGGCAGTTCTATCCTGTCCTTTAGGGTCGCTATGAGTCGGAATCGACTCCATGGCAGGGGGTGTGGTCTTGCCAGTGTATTCCTTCTGAGAGGGCAGCCTTGGGGTGATTGAGGTGATTAGATTACTGCGGGAAGGGGCAAATGAGGGTGGTGAGGAAAACAGAGGCCCTCCATGGGACTCAGCGTCTTGACTGAATGTAAGATGTCCTTTGAGCCAGACTAGAATTCTTTTCTCCTCACTACTTTGTGTTTGGGTTTCCAGGCCCAAAAGGAGCCCAGGGCTACCCTGGGATTCCTGGCCAGCCAGGAATTCGTGGAACTAAGGGAGAGCAAGGACTTCGCGGAGGGGTTTACCTCCCTGAATTGCCAGGTAAGAAAAGGACCGTCTCCTGGCCTGCTTCGCCACTTGTGGGAAGGTGTGTTTGGGTTGTGGTACTTCTCCACCAGGGACAGGAAGGAAGTTTGCCCTGTGGCGGGCTGGGAAGGTTTGGTTTCATGCCCAGGCGAGACAGCCCTTGGAACCCGTAGAACGGCAGCAGGTCAGGACAATAAAGACCTTTGGAGATCAGCCCGAACAATGCTGTAATTTTCAGATGAGGAAACACAGACGCACATGGAAAATTACCTGTCTGAGATCACAAAGCTCCGTCACTAGGACTAAACGCCAGAGCACTTGACTGCCAGTTCTAGGCCAGTTTCCAGAATCAACCCCTTTAACGGCAGAGAAAAGGATTGGGCTCACTCACTTGGAGGGAAATTGCCCATTCCATTGCAATACCTTTCCTCACACCCTGTTCCAACCTGGTTTTCTTTGTTTAACACTACACTCGCAATTCTCAAAGAGTGGTACCTGGGCCAGGAGCTTTAGCAGTAACTGTTAACGTGTTAGAAATGCAACTTCTTGGCACCCACCCCAGGGCATTCCGATGATGTCGAAGAACCACAAGAGTTCTACTGCGTGGGCTCATCTTGAGGTTTACTGGTGCCATCGTTCCCAGCAGGGAACAGGCAATCCCAGAAGGGGATGGAGCACTTATCAGAGGTTTAGGATGTCGTCTGTACTCTCCCGCACCTGCAGGAGCACCTAGAGCAGGTGGCTGAGCTTTGCCCAAGGACCAGGCCTCACTAGGGAGGGAAGCTTTTCCAGGTCACATGGTGCAATCCTTGCCTCAGGATTAGTCCTCCTAGGACCTGAGATTCCTGATCCTGAAAAGAAGTGATACACATTGTTAATATGTTTGTGTGTGTATCCTCACAACTGGACCAGTAGGTAACTCCATGATAAATGGAGAAAAAAATGAAATCGTCAAGGATTTCATCTTGCTTGGTTCCACAATCACTGCTTGTGGAAGAAGTAGTCAAGAGACCAAATGACACTTTGCATTGAATAAATCAGCGTGGATGTTACTTTGAGGAATAAGGTGCACCTTACCTAAGCCATAGTATTTTCAATTGTGTCATGCATGTGAAAGTTGGACATTGAATAAGGAAGACAGAAGGAGAATCAATGCATTTGAATTATGGTGCTGGAGAAGACTATGGAAATCACCATGGAGTGCCAAAAGAACCAACAAGTGTGTCTTGGGAGAAGTCCAGCCAGAATGCACTTTAGAAGCAAAGATGACAAGACGTCGTCTCGAGTTCTTTGGACATGTTGTCAGAAGAGACCGGTCCCTGGAGAAGGCCATTATGCATGGCACAGTGAAGGGGCAGTGAAAAACATGGATGGACACTGTGGCTTCATCCATGGGCTCAGTTTTACAGTGAACCATTCATGGACACTTTACTTCACCTCATCCACTGCAATCCCCTCGATGTGCTCTCACTGATCCCATGTCCCCTCCGCCCCGCGACCCCTCCCATGTTCCCTGTGCCCAATCATCCTCCTTTCCTAACCACCCAAGTGCCCCCACCACCACCACCACCACCAAACGTTGTCCTTGGGGAAATGCTGCTTTTATTTTTTTTTTTAACTACTGTTTTAGTGACATAATTTACATATCATACAATGCCATATTCGATCCTACAGAACACTGCCCTTTGGATTTTCGAAGGGCATTCCGGTGGCAGAGTGCTTACACATTGGGCAGCCATCGGCCAGGTCTGCAGTTTGAAAGCAGCAGCCAGCGGCTCTGCGGGAGGAAATTGGGGCTTTCTACTCCCATCAAGAGTTCCAGTCTCGGAAACTGGGACTCTGTGCCGTTCTCCCCTGCCCCATAGGGTCACTACGAGTCGGCAGTGAGTGTCTCTTAGTTGGATGGCTTTTTCCTGTGGGTATCCTTTGTTCATTTTCTCCTCTTCACATTTAGGATTTCCTGGACCTCGTGGGGAGAAGGGCTTGCCTGGGTTCTATGGGCTACCTGGAAAAGATGGCTCACCGGGTAAGCCTGGCAGTCCAGGTTTACCTGGCCCCAAAGGAGCCCCCGGTGACGTCTTGGGTCCTGCAGATGGTGCTCCAGGGAATCCGGGCCTCCAAGGGCTGCCAGGCGACGAGGGATTTCCTGGAGATTCTGGCCCCCCAGGACCCAAGGGTGATTCTTTTCTCATAAGCTACAGAAAAACCTTTCAGTAACTTTCAGCCAATACATACCACTTGCTTCAATGGAGGCTTCGCTTCGGGGTTGGGGGGTGGGGTGGGGGCGCTGAATTGCTTAAGGGATTAAAATGAACTACCATTTTGCCCTGGCCTTCGTTTTGCTTGTTATTTTTATTCTGTACGTGGCTCGAGTTCACGGTCCTTTCTTCAGCATGCCACCAGCGACCATGAGTTCTTGCAAAGCCTCTGGTTCCCTGCGGGGACTACCCAGGATGGAGCTGAGGGAATGGTGACTCTGTGAGCCGGTCTGGTGATCAGTCCCTGCTGCCAATCTCGGCTATGATCCTTTGCCCTTTCCTTTCACTAGGTTTGCTTGGGAAGTCTGGCTTGCTGGGCACCAAAGGTGAGCGGGGCAGCCCTGGCACCCCAGGACACAAGGGCCGGGCAGGCCCTCCAGGGCCTGATGGCGTGTCTGGCATCAAGGGGAAACCTGGTCTCCCAGGAACAGCAGGCTTTCCTGGCTTGGCAGGTAGGTCCTTTAGAGGAGGAGCCTCAGCTTGACAGACTTCACCTGGGCTGCATGGACATGACACCTGACTTTCCTAATCTCACATTTCAAATCACCCTTGTAGGGCCATGCAGAGCCAACTACTGCAGTGTAGCTCCCACAGCAGACTCCACCCCATCTCCCATTAAGGCATCCCCAGGTGGTGCAAGCAGTTCAACTCCTAGAAAAGTTGCTCTTTCCAACCCACCCAGCAATGAATGCCTTGGGAGAAATTGCTGGCCACCTGCTTCTGAACATCACCGCCATTAAAAACCCCACGGAGCAGAGCGCAGTTCTACTCTGCCACATGCAGGGTCAATGGCAGCTGGTTGGCTTTGGATGTCGGCATCACAGGTGGTTAGGTGTTGGGGCTGCTAACCGCAAGCACGGTCCTGGTTCAAATCCACCAGCCACTCGGTGGGAGATAGATGAGACTGTCTGTTCCCATCTAGCCCAGTCACTGTTGCCTTCATTAGGCTGCGAGGAGCCTGCTTTGGACTGGTGGAAGAGGAAGAATGTGACCATCCTGAGCATCCCTAGCCAACGTGGCTTTCAGTGGCGGGGCCTACCACCCCCTGGTTCCAGCTTAATGTTCAAACCTTGCCTTTTTCTAATGCCATCTTCCTCACCCTGCATCACTTCCTACATTACCCTCCCTCCCCTTACTCCTGGCCAAGTGACGGGTGACAGTAGGTGTTACCAAGTCAGTTCTGACTCATATGACCCTGTGTACAACAGAACAAAACACCGCCCAGCCCTGTGCTACCCTGACCATTGTTGTCATATTGGAGCCTGATGGTGTAGCTCCTGTGTCAAACCACCTCCTTGAGGGCCTTCCTCTTTTTCCGGGGCCCCCTACTTTACCAAGCATGATGTCCTTCTCCAGAACAGGTCCCTCCTTGGCAACATGCCCAGAGAACATGTAATGAAATCTGCCCTTCCTTGCTTCTAGCGAACATTCAGAAAAATTAGTTCCTTGCAGAACCACTAATAATCCCTTGTCTCCCCTTTGTCCTTCTCTGTTTTCTGGGGTCTTCCCATAGGCTGGCCAGGGGACACGACACAGCCCACAGGCTCACCAGCTCACACTCTCACCAGCTTCACTGCTGAGGGCATTATCTACCTATACATTCTAACCTATACATTCTAGCCAGGGATCTCGGAACTCATGCCACTGTGGGACTGGCTCACATTGAAATTTGCTTTCCTTACATCGGTATCCTCTTCACAGCTTTCTCTTCAAATCCCGGGGCTCGCAGCTACTTGATCCTTTTCAATCCTTCCAAATCCATGTCAGCCTTTCATTAAGGCCCTTAGGGTAAGGTGACCAGATGTCCCACTTTTGGCAGGACAGTCCCGATTTTTGGCATTTTTTAAAAGTCCCCATTTTTGGAAAGAATGCACGACAAGCTAGGGAATGGTCTATTTGGTCCATATAGACCAAATTTTTAATCAAGAACACCCCCCCCACCCCCGGTCAATGGTGCCCCACTTTAAATCTGGTCACCTTATCTTAGGGGCCCAAATACTTCTGTCATCTCTGAATTAATCCTTTGGGCTGGGAGGGGGGTTGTTTTGTTTTGTTTTATTTTGTTTTGATTTCCTCGCTTTGTAACTAAACATTCCATTTTGGCAGCAGCTCAGGAAGTTAATCCCATTGGCCAATTTAAAGCATAGTTAAAGTCTCCGAATACCTAGGAGACCAAATGGGCCTTGGGGATTTCTATAGTATTTGGCGCTAGGGGGTCTTTCAACCTTAATACCAAAGAACTGGCTGATTTAACTGCCTGCATGAGGGATTCAAAGGACAGCCCTGTAGCCTGGGCTCCCTGTGAGGTGGAAACAACAGCTCAGCTTTCAGCTCTCCTCCACCACGGGCTCAGGAAGCAGCCCTTGTGGGAGGATTCGAACAGGGAGATCAGGAAATGGGACCGCCATCGCCACCCTGGCTTGGCAGAGCTCCATTCAAAGGCTACGTTACAGGATGAAGCATGTTCCTAGAGGGTGAAGACTGTGGGATCAGAAGTGGTGGGCTCTCCCTGCCCGTTATGCTGCCATTCTGGAGGGAGTAGCCATTGGCATGGTACTCCCTGAGGAGGGGGTGGGGGGTGGGGCTTGGGTGCTAATGCTTCAGCGAAGTACTCTGCTGGTTAGTATCCTTCATATGCCAAGGTTAAACGACCAACAAGCCAACTCGAGCAGAAGCCATGGGATGGGGCCAGAGCCTCACTTGACAGCTGCCGTGTGTGTGTGTGTGTGTGTGTGTGTGTGTGTGTGTGTGTGTGTGTGTGTGTGTGTGTGTGTGTGTGTGTGTGTGTGTGTGTTTTCTCTCTGATGCTCCTTCAGGGTATCCTGGGAAGAAAGGCCCCAGAGGCGAGGCAGGTCCCCCGGGACCAACTGGAAAGAGAGGTCTGCTTGGCATCAAAGGCCTTCCCGGATCTCAAGGAAACGCAGGCTTCCTGGGGAGCACGGGCTTGCCAGGGGAAACAGGGTTGCCAGGCCTCCCGGGCCCAAAAGGTAAGTGAAGTGGTCACTGAAGCACCCATAGCTGCTCACAGGGGGCATCCCAGCTGCCCAGTGTGCCCCTTCACACTGTTGGGGGAAAAGAGGTTACAAGGGACGGGGGCGGGGCGGGGAGGGGGGTAGGTTCGAGATAAGCAGGGATTCTGTTAGCAATTTTATTAGCTAAAATGAGCTAAAGAGTGCCCCGGAGGCATAATAGGTTATTGGGAAACCACCAGATGCTCCGCTGGAAAAAGGATGGAGCTTTCTACTCCCATGAAGAGTTAAGAGTCTCAGACATTCACAGGACAGTTCGACCTTCTCCTACAGGGACCCTATGAGTTGGCATGACAGAGAGTTTGTTTTTTTTGGTATTCGAGTGCTCAAAAAGGACCCCCCTAGCCAGGGTGACTTACCTTCAGTGCCTGCTGGGCACATCACTGGACTGAATCTCATGGTCACTAAAGCCCAGGAGAGAAACAGCCATGCTGGGTTTACTCACGTGCACAACCCCCATCTATCATGAAATTCTCACTTACTGTGATTGCTCTGATACCCAGCAGAGGTGGGCCAAGCAACGTCTCTATTTTACACAGGGGAAAATGACTGATCCAAGAGCAGACAGCTGGTTGGCCACTGAGCCAGGGATTTGAACTCCATTTCCTGGCGTTCCCCGCCTCCTCCATTTTTTTTGGTCCCTTGCCACATCTGAGCTCTACCCTTGGCAGATTTTTAAGCATAGGTGCCCACCTCTTGTGTTGCTTAATGCCATGTACAGCAAAGTGGTAACCAGTGTCTTCACGGCTAAGAGCACGGGCCTGGGCATTCTGGGAAACCACCTGCGCAACTTCCCCTTTCGGTTCCTGGGCAGAAACCAGGGCTCCTAATACAACTTCTTGGTTCCCAATAGGTGAAAAGGGGTCTGGTGGACTGATAGGTTTTCCGGGAATACCGGGCCTCCCAGGTATTCCTGGTGCCAGTGGATTGAAGGGAGCCCCGGGGTCAACAGGAAGAATTGGAACATCCGGGTCTGTGGGCAACCCTGGTGAAAAAGGTGAGCTCGAGATATGAATTTGGAACAGCTACCACCCACCCTTCCAGGCGTACAGTTTGTTTATGGCCGTGATCGTTCCAGTGGCTTCAACCGACCTTGTGCTGGACAAAGAGACCTTCTTTCTTTCTTGCGTGGGTGGATGGGTGGGGCGGGGGGTTGTCTTCTGACCTCTAAATTGGGTTCTTTGGCACCCAAAGACCTGGTAGAGGCTCTGTCTATACATTTCCATATGGCCATGGGAGGAGAGTTTGGAATCCAGGATGGGCACGCATAGCAATGCACCGCTGGAAGAAGGGGCATGGGAGAGAGCGTGCAGGGCCCAGAACGGGAGCCTGGGCAGAACTAGCCGGGCAGGTCAGCGCGTGCCCACCCCACACCTCTCACCCTGATCGTCTGATCTCCATCCCTGCAGGAGACAGAGGTGATCCGGGGCTGATCGGAGGACCCAGCCAAGGAGTTCCCATGCTTAACGTTTTGTTAAAAGGAGACAAAGGTGCCCTGGGAGCGACTGGATCAAGTGGATTTCCAGGGCCCAGAGGTACCAGGATGGGGAATGGGCAACACTCTAGAAAGGCTGTCTGACTAAACTTGCCTTCCTTCCTGAGACAAGTCCTCCATTTCAAGGCCCCTCGAGAGTAGCAGTGGATGATAGAAGGGGGTACAAAGAGGCCGGAGAAGTGCCTAGACTTGGGGTCTGCCATAGGGCAGGCTCGCTGTGCAACTGAGTTTTTTTGCCCCCACCCGCTGTGGCATTCCCGGAGGAGCCTGGCAGGTAGTGGGTGGGATGTGAGCATTGGCCAGCTTTCCCATTGCTGGAGCTGGGCTGCCGCAGCGGCGCCCTGTACGCCTGGAACACTGAAGGCATTTCTCCCTCTCACCCCACCGCCACTGGCTCCCAAGCCGGTGCTGGGCCTCTGACCGGGCCCCTGCACCTTGGCGAGCAGGTGTGCTCTTGATAGTGCCTCCCGTGTTGGGCTGCTAACTGCAAGGGGAGCAGTTGGAACCCAGCGGCCGCAGCTCAGGAGAAAGATGAGACTTTCTGCTTCTGCAAAGATTTGCAGCCTCAGAACCCCTCCATCGGCTTGTTATGAGTCTGAAGGCAGTCTTTGGGTTTTGTGTTCAATCGTCTATTTCTAAACACTTATACTTCTTTCCTAGGGGACAAAGGAGAGCGTGGCCTCTCTGGGCCACCAGGCCTCCCCGGAGCCATTGGATTCCCCAGTGTCATCAAAGGACTTATGGGAAAGTCAGGCCCTCCTGGCCCCCAAGGACTACGGGGCTTGCCTGGCTTGAAGGGGGCCACAGGAATCACAGGCTTTCCGGGAATGCCTGGAGAGGCTGTAAGTGTGCCAAGTCCATTGTCTGCCCACCAAGAAGCGACTCCCACCACAGGAAGAAATGCGCATGGTTTCCACCTTTCTCACAGTAACCCCCTTCGCAGTTCCAGTCCCCCAAGATTTCCTCAGACAACTCCCTCTCCTCGAGCCTGCTCAGTCTTCTCACCCTTCCTGGAGCCTCCCCTCTTGAGTGCCTTTGTCCATGCTGACTCCCCCACAGGCAGGGCTTTCTCCCTCCTCTGAAGGTGCCTCCTCCCTGCCATCCCTCAGGCCCCAGCTCCTCTATACTTCTCACAGTCTGCACTCCTCTGAGTGGGGTCCATGTCAGTGTGTGTCCTCAGCAAGATCTGTTGGCTTGGAGAATAAGGATGCCCTCACAGGCTTTCCTGCCTGCGCACCATTGCCAACATCCCACGTGGAGTCTGGCACATAAGAATCCAGTACAAACTTCTGTCTGTTTGGATAAGGTTTTTTGTTTGAGGTCTTTTTTTTTTTAATTAAAAGATCATTTTATTCGGGGCTCTTACAGTTTTTATAATAATCCATGCATCAGTTGTCTCAAGCATATTTGTACATATGTTGCCATCATTGTTTTCTAAACATTTACTTTCTTTTTTTTTCATTTTTCCATAAACATTTTAAGTCCCCTTATTATTATTTTTTAAAGCATTTTATTGGGGGCTTAAACATTTACTTCGTATTGAGCCCTTGGTATCAGCTCCTCTTCCCCCCCCCCCATGACCCCTTGATAAAGTATAAATTATTATTCTTTTTTATATCTTACACTGAGGCTGTCTTCCTTCCCCCACGGTTTCTGTTGGTCATCCCCAGGGGTGGGATGTGTATGTGGTTATGTGTCCATTATTGTGATCCTCCCTTCCTTTCCCCACCTTCTACCTACTCTCCTGGTATCGCGACTCCCATTCCTGTCCTTGGATTCCTTGTATCATGAGCTCTTATCTGTACCAGTGCACATGTTCCGGTCTAGCCCGCAGTGAAAGGCAGAAGTGAGGTCATGATAGTGGGGGGTGAGGGAGGCTCAAGGGACCAGAAAAACATTGCATGTTTCATCGGTGCTATACTGCACCCTGGTTGACTCAGCCCTTCCTTGTGACCCTTCTCTGAGGGGATGTCCCATTGTCTACAGATGGCTTTTGGGTCTCTGCTCCAACCCCCTTCATTCTCAACAATGTGGCTTTATTTTTTTATTTGATTGGGGTCTTCTGATGCCTGTTACCCGATCCCGTCAAAACCTCATGATTGCACAGGCTGGTGTGCTTCTTCTATGTGGGCTTGTTGCTTCTCTCCTAGATGGCTTGTTTAATTTCAACCCTTTAAGACGCCAGATGCTATATCTTCTGATAGCCGGGTACCATCTGCTTTCTTCACCACATTTGCTTGTACAGCCATTTTGTCTTCAGTTATTATGCCGGGAGGGTGAGCATCACAGAATGCCAGGTTGTTAGAACAAAGTGTTCTTGTGTCTTGCCCTCTTGAGGGAGGGCAAGGGCAGAGGCCAGAAGTCCATTCACTACCTCAGTGTATTGCTATATATATATATATATATATATATATATATATATATATATATATATATATATATATATATATATCAATATCTCTATTTTTTTAATCATTTTATTAGGGGCTCATACAACTCATCACAATCTATACACACATCAATTGTGTAAAGCGTATTTGTACATCATTCTCAAAACATTTTCTCTCCACTTAAACCCTCGGCATTAGGTCCTCATTTTCCCCCTCCCTCCCTGCTCCCCCCTCCCTTATGAGCCCTTGATAGTTTACAAATTGTTATTTTGTCATATCTTGCCCTGTCCAACATCTCCCTTCACCCACTTTTCTGTTGTCTGTCCCCCAGGGAGGAGGTCACATACAGTTCCTTGTAATCGGTTCCCTCTTTCCTACCCACTCTCCCTCTACCCTCCCTGTTTCGCCACTCACACCACTGGTCCTGTAGGGCTCATCCGCCCTGGATTCCCTGTGTTTCCAGTTCCTATCTGTACCAGTGTACATCCTCTGGTCTAGCCAGACTTGCAAGGTCGAATTCGAGTCATGGTAGTGGGAGCAGGGAGGAATGAACTAATGTATTTACATATGTCCACACCTATGCTTATACCTGTATCCATAGTTTTGCTTCCTAGATCTTTCCTCTGTTTCCTTTTACCGTCCTTCTGCCCAAGCTCCATGAGAAGTCTTATTTCTTTGAGTTCTTCAAAGGCAGGATGCGCCCATTGCTTAGGGAGGAGATGGACAGACAGACAAGGGTGTGAATCTCAACTCCATCACTCATTAGCCCTGGGATCATATGCATAGTATGGAACTTCCCTGAGACGCACGTTGCTCACCTGTCACAATCAGGAATGACAGCCAAACTGCCTTCACACAGTCTGGGGGATTCAGTGAGACAATTTATGTAAAGTGCTGAGTATCGTATCTGGCACCTAACGGGCTCTGATTAACAATCATATTAGCATTGAAGGGTCTAAATCAGTGGTGGGCAACGTCCAGCCTCATAAGCCATATGAATTCACTGCCATTGATTCCTTTCCAACTCACATTGACCCTATAGGACAGGGTATAACTGCCGCTGTGGGTTTCTGAAACTGTAACTCTTGACAGGAGTAAAAAGTTTCATCTTTTTCCCAAGGAGCTGCTGGTGGCTTCAAACTGTTGACCTTTTGGTTAGCAACCCAATGTGCAATCCACTCTACCACTAGGGCTCCATTATGGGCTGCACAAGACCCACAACATCCTCAATGCCAGCTAACATCACCCTCGTCACCAAAAAGAAGCAATTCCAGCCTCACATGAGGGGTGCATTAATGAAATGTTCGACCAAAGATAGCAGGCTAGTTTTCCCATTACTAATTGTGTCTGGCCTGCAAATGATGTTATGAAGATCCAAGTGGCCCTTGGCAGAGAAAAGGTGCCCCGGCCCTGATAAAACACATGCACGCACCCTGCAGGCAAAGTCCTTGCCCTTCAGCCATACGAGTCCATCTGGTGGAAAGAAACACACACACACACACACACACACACCCTCTGAAACAATTGCCAAAGAAAGTTCTAAAGGAGGTGGTCCTGTGGAGCACACACGGGGAGGAGGGAAGATGGGGGGGAGGCATTCTAGGATGGCCCCAGCAGGAACAATGGTTCAGAATTAGGAGATCTGGCTGTGGACAAGCAAACATCTGGAAGGCAGCAGGGGGCTCTGGGTCTCCATAGTGCAGCAGTGGCCCGGGGAGCGCAGCCACAGAGCCCAGAGCTCAAATTCCTCTAGCCCACGGCGGTCCGTGGCATTTTTCTGTCCTGGGCACCTCTCCAAATGAGTCCAAAGCAACCCCAGGGGGAGATTTGTGCAGAGGGCAGAACAAACATGCGCCCTTCCCAGACTCGGAGGCAGCTCCTCGTGTGAAAAGGGTAACAGCCCCTATTCAGACTCCAGCACACGTCCCACCTGCTGCCTGGTGTAAGAAAGCCCGTGCTCCTAGCAGAACGAGCAGTGGACGACCAGCTCTGTGGTCTGCCCAGGTGGATTAGGGAAACAAGTGCATGGACCATCATGTGTGTATGAGAGTTTTATATAAATGGCAATTGTACATTAAGAAAGCATTCCAACCCAGTCCAGTCCAAGCCCATAAGTCTGATATTAGCCCATGTGTCTGATACCAATCTATAAAGTCCTCTTTAGACTCCGAAACACATGCAATAACGCCAAATGCAGGATGATCACAGGTCAGTAGGTTAGAAAGTCTTTGGATCCCGTGGCATTATAAGCATCTCAGTGCTGGCAGGGGTCTCCATGTGGCTTCTCCAGCACCCAGGGCTGCATCAGGGTAGGTTCATGTGGCTTCTCTTCAGGGATGTCTCACAGGAAGTCAGCCTTGTCAGTAGAGCATCTCCAAGGGAGTGAGTCGAGAGAGAGTCTGTCTCCCGCCTCCAAGAAGGAAATACCGGAGTTCCCAGAATCCTCAGGTGAAGGCCATGCCCACACACAGAGGCCTCATTAGCTATGACCCACTGGACAGACTAGACTCCACTCCTTCACTCTTAATCCTCTCAAGTCCCAAATTGATACCAGATTATATAACTACCACACCCTGGAAGGTGGAGGAACATTTCTTTCATGCTTAATGAATGGCTCTGAAGCTTTGGCATAGGAAGTAGTAGCAGACTGTTTGAGGAGCACAGCAAATGCCTATCAAGTTCATCCCTCTGCTCATTGCCTTGGTGGCATAGGGGTAACTCATTGTATTACTAACTGCAAGGTCAGCAGTTTGAAACCACCAACCGCTCCTCGGGAGAAAGATGGGGCTTTCTATTTATGCCAAGAATGACAGTCTGGCAAACCGCCAGGGCCAGTTCACCCCTGTCCTATAGTCTGCATTGCCTCGATGGTCGTGGGTTTGTTTGTAGGTTTGCTCCTTGCCTTCCTGTTTACAAGGCAGTGTAGCCATCACCACTGAATGCCTGCGAACACACCGCTCAAGCAGTGGCCCTGGGAGTGGGAGGGTAAGCCAACCCTGAGCTCTGAACAAAAATGATGATGATGCCCACATTGTTTTGAAGGGTCAACAAGGTCTTAATGGGGTGCCCGGGCTCCCTGGAGCAGCTGGTCTTCCAGGTACTAAAGGTAAGGCGCATTTTCTATTGTAACAAATCTTCATAGAACAAGGTGGACTTCTAGCAGGCCCGGGGCTCTTTGGGGAAGAGAGAGATCTGTGTTTAGGGGAAATTGAATGCATTTACATTTCCCCTTTGGACCAAACTTCCAGACCTTGCAAAAAGCAATGGCATCAACCGAGCTCTCCCACCTGCCCCAGCCCCTCCCTTCACTTACGGAAAAGGCTGTTATTTGTTGCATTGTGGGATGTGACCCAGCTGCCTTCCAGTCTCAGCAGCAGAGAGGAACCTGGGATCTAGAGAATTTTTTTGCCCCCTGCTGAATCTAGCAGGAAAATGCCCCACCCTTATTGCCATCACTGTCTCATTCTGATGATGTTTTCACGCGCCTCCTCGCATCTCCTCAGCACATCCTGAGCCTCGCGGAGGGGTGTGCTTCCCAGTGGAAGTTAAGCTGCAGGTCACACCACGCCCACCACCTGCCAGAGTCCCAGCTCCCCACTGGCGATTGGTCACTCTGTTGAGAATTTCACCGCGGAGTTCCTCTGGATGAAATACTGCGTCTAAAACAGTTTTGCATTTCAAAGGTTTTCGGGGGCTGTAGAAGGAGCTCTCCTAAATCCTTTCTCAATATTCCCAGGAGATCTAGGACCAACACATACGATTCATGGGCTCCCAGGAGCCAAGGGACAACGTGGAGTGTCTGGTTTTGAAGGTAAGACTGCTGTACTTTTCTCTCTTGTGCTTCGTAGACTCTTCCTTCAAGCGTGAGGAATGGAAGGAATTGAGGGGTGGGGCAACCCCAAGTTCTGCAACCTCCAACCAATGCAGAAAGATTCCTACCTGAGGCCACTGGAGATCCCCTTGCAGAGGGGTCTTGGGGAGGAGATGAGCCAGTCAGGGTGTGATGTAACAATGATGAAAAATACAACTTTCCTCTACTGGAGATCCCCTTGCAGAGGGGTCTCGGGG